TAAGAATTTCAGCCATAGAGCATAAACTTATCGTCGTATTCAATCACCGCGAACCGTATGGCCCCTCCTGTCATGCCTAAACAGATCGGCATAACTAGGACTTCGTTTGGAAAAAGATTGGTGAAGAACTCTGCGTGTTGGATAAGTTTAGAGAGCCCCTCCCGCGCTCTTTCCCCCCTGCAGCAGGGGGGTTCCTGAGGCAGCAGCCAACGGTTACGGCAGACGTTACAAGGGCCAAAGTAAAAAAAATATAGGGCTTCAAATACGGGGCTTTATGCGCGCTGTTTGACGTATACGTTATGGCCAGTGTGAACGCAGCATTAATTGGCAATATCTTTGAGCGTTTTTGCATACAAAAGTGGAGCGCAACACGTCAGAAGTGCTCCAAGCTGCACCCGCTCCGCTCTGCGGTAAATCATGGGTCTGACATCGCTTTGCCTCACGGCACATCATGTTTCATTTGTCAACCCCCCATTGTTTCCATCAACAATAGATAGCCGCGCCTTCCCCCCCCCCCCTCCCCCTTAAAAAACGTTCCTGAGCTGGTAGACCAACTTCCACATGCAGCCTTCGATGCAACATTTTTAAAGACAATATATATGATCTGCGGCATGCAATAAACGTTCAACAAAAAGTAAATATCATTGTAAAAACAAAGTTGCTCACCTTCTTCACCGGCGGAGAAAGGGAAAGAGGGATTTCGCGCCTTCAGTTCAAATTAGTAGTTCGGTTAGAGGAAGTCTCCTCCCCTTCCAGTCTGCCCGTGGATCCGCCGGACGGAAAAAAGCAATAATTTTCTGGAACGTTTAATGCTCCAACATTTGTCCAGAAAAGGCAACTCAAGAGTTGTAGTCCACTACAAAATGTAAAATAACTTTTACCACCTAACAAAAATCAGCTCATCTTTGAACTTTTATGTCTTTAAATTTCATGAACATTATATGTTACATCCGTCATTCATTGTTCTGGCAGTATATAGGCTGCCTGTGTCACGTGACTTCCAAGTCAATATTTTACTGTAATGTTACAGTTTGATGGTGTGAAATCAGTGCACTTTTTACAGTTTTGCTGTGAAAATAAAATTCCTGGTTGTAATATTACAGATGGTTTTACATGGCAAGATTATACTGTAAAATAGGAGTTAAATGCTGTAAAATCCAAGGATATTTTATTTTTACATTAATTCAATGGGTTATTACAGGGAAACTTAATTACAATAAATTACTGTAAAATATTACTTTAAATTAATGTGAAATGCTGGTAATTTCTAACAGTGTACCGAATTGTTGGGTCTGGTGTATTGCATCTTCCTCTTCACAATACTTCATATGGGGTTAAGGTCAGACCAGTTTGCTGGCCAATCAAGAACAGGGATATTATGGCCCTTAAACCAGGTACTGGTAGCTTTGGCACTGTGTGCAGCTGCCAAGTCCTGTTGGTAAATAAAATCTGCATCTCCATAAAGTTGGTCAGCAGCAGGCAGCATGAAGTGCTCTAAAACGTCCTGGTAGACGGCTGCGTTGACCTTGGACCTCAGAAAATACAATGGACCAACACCAGCAGACGACATGGCACCCCAAACCATCACTGACTCTGGAAACTTTACACTGGACCTCAAGCAGCACGGACTCTGTGCCTGTCGTCTCTTCCTCCAGACTCAGGGATCTTGATTTCCAAAGGAAATGCAACATTTACTTTCATCAGAGGTTCTTGAAGCACTGACTCCAGCTGCAGTCCACTCTGTGAATCTCCCCCACATTTATGAATGGGTTTTGTTTCACAATCCTCTCCAGGGTGCGGTCATCTCTACTGCTTGTACACTTTTTTCTACCACATTAGGTCCTTCCCTTCATCTCTCTATTACTGTGTTTGGACACAGAGTTCTGTGAACAGCCAGCCTCTTTAGCAATGACTTCTGGTGTATTGTCCTCCTTGTGTAAGGTGTCGATGATCGTCTTTTGGACAACTGTCAGGTCAACAGTTTTCCCCATGATATTGTACCCTACATAACTAGACTGAGAAACCATATAAAGGCTTTTGCCGGTGATTTGAGTTAATTAACTGATTAGAAGGTGGCACAAGGGCTCTTCAGTTTTTAACCTTTTCACAATATTCTAACATACTGAGATACTGAATTTGGGATTTTAATTAGTTGTCAGTTATAATCATCAAAATTAAAGTGACAGTGTGCATTTTTCCTAGCGATAGGGGGCAGTAGATACCTAATGGGCTTGACACACGGGAGGCGACATCGCCTCTCCTCCATTCATTTTCAATGAGACATGCGCGACAAAGCGATAATCGCAGGTCTCCCTCCTACCAAGTGAAACGCGAAAAACGTGCGTGTGAAATTTTGCGCTCGTGCACGTGTCGTGCACAGGCAACCCAGCGACGCGATCCCAGAAAGTTGAAATATTTTCAACTTTTCATCGCTGTCGCTCGGACGAGGACCAATCAACGGAGGTTTCATTCACTGACCAATGAGCGGACAAGATGCTCCATACATCTCCGAGCAAACATGGAGGAGAAGTTGATTATTATTATGTTTTATAGTAAAATCACAAGTAAGATTTCACATAACTCTAGCAGCACCTTGTGAAACATCATATCTACCACTTTATTAACTCTGAACCGCTTAAATAACCTTAATTCCCTCCAACCTGACACAGCCAAACAAAACAACAGAAGTTTCGATTTCGCCATGGAACAGAACGCGTAGACGGCTTTGCCGCTGGCCGCTGTCGCGGATCACCTCCCGTGTGTCAGGTAATAAAAGCAACACCGACAAATTTCGCTGATCGCGGCCGTTTGTCACCTCCCGTGTGTTGAGCCCATTAATCATCGCAAGTAAGCTGTATTTTTGTGTTAAAGACCTTACCAAGGGATGCCCGGGGGGTACAAACTTCAGCAAAATGACAAGCGTATCAGACTCCTTTTCATCACTGGCAATGAGTGAATGTGTAAAACATTTATTAATAGTGAAAGCTTTGTAACAATTTGTTACAAATCAGTAAATGTGTTTTGTCCTCAAGGGTTCCTGTAGAAGTAAACACGGCATCTAAAGCCTGATTCATGCTTCTCCGTCAGCTCCGCAAGGGACAGACACGCACAGATTGACGGAAGCGTTTTGCTCTCATACTTCTCCGTCTCCTGGGGAGTGTAGCCAAGCAATTCCCCGGCAGGACAACAAAGGGTGTAGCGCTGTTCTGTAGTATCCTGTCATGTATCCGGTCCAAGATAGTGTGTTTATATTGTGTTTTTTGTATATAAGAGACTTTTTAACAGACAAATTTGTCTCTCATCCTCCTCCACCTCTTCATGCACTCGCCACCTCTAAACCCACGTTTCCTGTCATTTCCGTCCACAAATAAAACACTTGCTGCGCATCTTTTCACTCCTCCAGTCACGGGGGAATTAAACGTTCATATTTTTAGAGTGTTTTCGCGAGATATTCTTCAAGCTTCTCAGTGTCTGCTGCTGGTTATTCTCGGCTCTCTTTATGTTTTTGAGGGTGCAATGGCGGCGGTGTAGACGACAGCGGCGTCCTGACCAATCACAAGCTTGCATTGTCCGTCTCGATGGATGGATGTTTAGAAAAGAGAGCTCGACTCCCTGCGTCCTTGCGGAGCTCTCCAGCAGGCCCGCAAGGACGGATAATGGCGTTGCGTGTCTCTGCACTGACGCAGACACAGAAGCATGAATCTGGCTTAAAGCCTGCTGCACACGAGCAATCTGCTGAGCAAACGGCCTCGAATGACCGTTTGCTCAGCAGATTGCTCGCCGTGCGCGCCTGATTTTCACTGAGTTTTCTGCCTCACGAGACGCTGAGCCGAATATCTGACCAGTCAGATATTTTTCACCTCACGGGGGGAAGAAACTCGCTGTGTGTGCACTACATGAGCTGCCGGCTGAGCTGAACTTTTCTAGTGGCCAATCAAAGCACGTTCTTTGATCACGATTCCAAGATGGCAGCCCACCGTCTGCATGCCGGAAAATAAACAAAACAGAGACAGAGCTGGAAATGGAGGAAATGCCTCTACTTTTTTGTTGATGAAGCGCCACCGCCACTTCAAGGTTAGGAAAGTATGTGTACGGTGGCTGGAAAGATGGGCCAGGCAAGGAGTTTATGCCAATTGACTCCAAGAGATGCGCCTGGAAGACCCAGAATCCTTCCGACAGTACCACCGCCCAGATCCTTCGAGAGGGTAATGGAAACAGTGGGCCCAACGATTCGCAAGGTACCGTTTTATTTTTCAGACACAGACAGGGCAGAGGGCTGCATCTGAATACATCTTAGGGTCATGTGAGCAGAGAACGCACTTTGATTGGCCACTAGAATGTTTCAGCTCAGCCGGCAGCTCATGTAGTGCGCACACGGTGAGTTTCAACCCCCGTGAGGTGGAAAATGTCTGACTGGTTAGATATTTGGCTCAGCGTCTCGTGAGGCGGAAAACTCAGTGAAAATCAGGTGCACACGGCGAGCAATCTGCTGAGCAAATGGTCATTCGAGGCCGTTTGCTCTCGTGTGCGGCAGGCTTTACATGGCGTCACCCAGTCTTAGACCTGCTTCCATGTATTTTAAACCAGATTTTTATGGTTATACGTTACAAACCCACAGCATTTTTCCAACAACTGGGCATCATTTAATTCATTTTCAACATTTTGATGGATGGATCCAGAGATTAACAATAAAAACTACACATCATCACTTTAAAGAAAGTCATGAATTCGTGTATTGAATGAATCTAATATACAAGTTCCACTTTTTGAATGGAATTACTGAAATCAACCATGTCATATTCTAATTTTATGACCAGCACCAGTAGTTACTCTAGCATGACCAGAAAAAAGTTCAGAGTAAAGTCGTTTAGTATTAAAATGTTTATAGTTTCCTGTCTGTTGTGAATTTCTTCTTATAAGAATACATACATGTATCCATGACGCAGTGAAAACAGGTGGATGTGAGCAGATGAAAGGAAAACACAAAGTCTGCCAACAGATCAGCTCAGATTCTTTGTTTATTGGTCAACTTGATGAAAGACTACAAAACGAATTCACAAAAAATCTCTTTCAAGTAATCAAATCTGTACAAACCTAAACTGTTTGGGGTTTTTACAGCTCTGGCTCATATGAATCTGAACATGTGTGTGTGTGTGTGTGTGTGTGTGTGTGTGTATGTATGTGTGTGTGTGTGTGTGTGTGTCCTTGTTCTGAAATTTTCAAGATGAGACATTACACTGAAAAAGGCAGGACAACACACACACTCACACACATCTGTGTTAAGAGATTATGACAGTAGAGGAGACAAGGAAAACAGAATACACCCTCCCCTGGCGACATGTGTCGTCCGCAGCTGAACGTCTTCCCGCTGATAAACTCCGACCGTCTGCCGATCGCTGCGCTTCAGTCAAACCCCTGCAGAAGCAGACTCTGTGGTTTCATCACATCTAATAGAAAAGTGGTCGATGCAAGAGGGAGGGGGGTCCAAATCTTTTCATAATTTTGCACAAAATGTACATGTGATTTTCCCGCTCACCTTGTCTGCACAAGCTTACACACACCCACTCTTAACAGTAATGTTTTAAGAAGTACAGATAAAAAAAGGAAAAAAGCCCTGGGTATAGGTTTGATTTCTGGCTGTTTGGTGAAAGAAAGGAGAAAAGAGGTAGAGAGGACAGAAGGGCCGGGGCTCGGAGGTCAAAAGCAAAACTACTAGTGTCATTTCTTAGCTTTCCTGGGAGGAGTGACGGGGCGACCGGAGCCCACGCCTCCTCCGCCGCTATAAAACAGCTTCTTATCTGCAGGTTTCAAAATCTGGAACAGGAAGAAAACAGAAGTTAGCACTAAGGAACAGCTAAAGCAGAGCCACGCGAGGAGCTCTGGACCTACCTGGAACGAGCACATGAGGGTCTCGTCTACGCTCATCATGGCTCCGGCGTTGTCAAACTCCCCGCAGTAGTTTGGGGCTGAAAACAGCGTCACCAGCTGCCTCTTTGCAAAGAACTCATACCCATCCTCAACCACCTGAAAACACAAACAACGTTAGCGTTTTCCCCCGAGAAAGAATGGAGTCCTGAAAAAGACAATCCAATGCGGTTTGTGTTAAATTAGAGACAGACACACACAGTTAGGACATCACTCACATCACTAAATATTAATCTTTTAGATATTTAAGAGGCCCCAAATCTGATTTAAATGAAATAAGTAAGAATTTCTTAAGGAATCTTTAAGATTCAAAGATTCAGGAAATCACCAAACCACCTGGAAACAGTAACCGGTTTATGCTAATGTTGTTTCTGTACCTGCTGCCTTTTATTTATCAACAATAGCACAAAAATCACATTTACGGTCACTTTAAAAAGGAACTTTTATTTCATTTCCATATGACAGGAAGCACGATGCCAACCCTTTCAAAATCACTTTCAGCCTTATGCTGCAAACAGCCCTGAAATCAGCACTATAAACAGACTTGTTCTGACTTTATTTTGTTCTGCTTCACATTAAACTGCATCTTCCTTCCTTTAATCCAAGACATTTACCTAATTGTTGCTATATGACATCTACGAGCTGCAGCATCTAACTGATCTTTATGTGGCGAGTGACATCATCACACTGACCTGATGAGCCCGGCAAATAAGGTCCATGTCATGTTTGTGGAGAAACTTTGTGACGACATCAGCGCCAAAAGTGAAGGAGACGCCGCGGTCGTTCTCGCCCCAGCCCAGCACGTCCTTATCTGGGTCGGCCCACAGCAGGTCGCATAGGAGGCCCTGATCAGGCACATCGGTGGGACGCATGACCCGTCTCACCTGCTCCATGGACTGGAGGTCTGGGGACAGGCCTGTTGAAGACAGAGGTGAATGTAGGACAGCAGAACACTTGGCATCTTTTATGGTTTAAGGTGTTTTTCTACTAAGGAGAAGGTCATATTGCCTCCACGAGACCAGATATCCACTTAAAATTATTTTATTTGGGTATCGACACTTTTCTAAATTACAGCAACAACCTCACGTCTTATGTAACTTGGTGTTTGAAGCTGATGGAATTTACCCTTCAGATGATCGGTCTGTTTACATACTTTGACAAAAAGCTTTCAAAGACATGAGATAACAGTGGTTCTCTGTAGCTGTCAGTTTCTCTCCGCCCCTGAGTCCATTTCCAAACAAGACTGCAGCTAGATGAGTCCATGTATCCATGCAAGAATACAAATGAAACCTATATAATCAGGCTGCGGAAGTAGCCAGACAGGGAAACGGCTACATAAACAGTCAATAATACGGTTGTTTGACCGTGATGTTGACTGCAATAACAGAGCAGAAGCTAATTTACGTGTGCTGTCTGCATGGAACAGAAGAATACCTCCATGGCAACAGAAGATCTTCTCATCAACGATGGCGGCGACAGGCAAACAGTTGAAGCAGTCGGTGAAAGTCTTCCAGAGCTTGATGTTGTACCGCCTCTTACCTGTGGGAGGAAACCACGACGACTGGGTCACAATCTTATCTCAGGCTGTAGAAAAGCAGCTGCACCCAGTGTACCAGATTAGAAACATCTTTTACATAACGGGGACTCTGAATAGGAGAGGCATGTGATTATTCACCACTGCCTGATCACGCTCCAGCAACGAGGGGATCGGGCTTTAGTTGGGTCTGATCAGCCACACGTTCACCGTCAGATTCACAGGAACTTCACCTCCTCTTCTACCATCATCAACTTTCAGAAGACGAGACATTCCTCCAGATAAATGCAACCTGAATGCCCACATTTCTATTTAAATGATCAAAACATCAACAATATCCAACTCAAGGCTTGGCCTGTTTTATTGAACTAAGCAGTGAGCATGTTGTACTACTTACACTCATCATAGAAGCCATATATTCTGTTAATAGATGCACACTCATGGTTTCCTCTCAGCAGAAAAAAGTTCTCCGGGTATTTGATCTTGTAGGCCAGCAACAGGCAGATGGTCTCCAGCGACTGCTTGCCTCTGTCTACGTAGTCTCCCAGGAACAGGTAGTTGCTCTCCGGCGGAAAGCCTCCGTACTCAAACAGCCTCAGCAGATCGTAGTACTGCCCATGAACATCCCCTGGAGAAGAGTTATGAGAGGGTTTCATTTCTGGTTAATCATTTAAATGTGCCGTTGTTCGTATTATTATCAATATCGTTCTGTAGTTTAGGTCCTGCCGGTAGGTGCTGCTGATGCTTGAAACTATGATGACAAAAACAAGACTAAAGCTCGAGGATGCAGCTCTGATTCTGTGTTTGGATCCAACACTGATCAATAAAACTAATGCTGATTACTTTTATTTTTAGAAGAACCAGGTCTGAGTTGATCTGCCTCCTAAACATAGATTTAACTTAACTTAAAAACTGATGCAGCAAAGTGGTCAGAGGGCTTGAAAAAATACTCGTTTAAAAAATGACAACAATTTCAAGTGAACTGAGACAAACATTTAGATGTTTGTTTACATCAGTAAGAAGATAATAGTGATAATTTTTGTGAATCTTTAGTGACACTAAACAGTTTAATCGACAAAAAACCCATCGAATCCAAAACATGATACTGTGACCAAGGTCACTACCATGTGCCTTGCAACAATATCACAAATATTTGTTACGTTTTTTATCTTAGAAAGTTAAGTTAGAAATGTAGTTACTGAAAACGAAACTCCACAGAATGTTAACTCAAACATTTTATTTCTTAAGTCTGCTGTGAAAATTCCCTCGGCTATAAAGCAAACAATAAAACTCACCACAAATCTTGAGGGGGGCCTCGAGTTCGAGCAGGATCGGCTGACTAAGGAAGATCTCCCGGGATTTGAGGCAGAGTCCACGGATTTCATTCTCTGTCAGCTGAACATTTTTACCAGGTCTGGAGCCTTTCACTTTAGGGAAAAGAAAAATAACACAAATCAAACTGAATATGGGGTTAAAAAACAAACATTAACCAGGGAAGTGGTAATTCAGTCTCATTTTGTAACAATCCTACTGAGGTGTAACTATTTTAATTCATGTCCAGCATAAGTGTGTCTGTCTATCTATCTATCTATCTATATATATCATATTTTCACAACTCTATTGGTGAAACATTTTTATAAGCAGACCACTGAGAAAGGGTCAAAAATTATGTATTTTAGTAGTTTTTCCTGTTGTCTCATTTATCGCAGCATCTAAAAGCACACGATGCAAAGGGAAATTCAAATATTTTAGGTTTATTCTGACACTGAGAAAATCTAAACATCTCATGGATTTCTGACAAACTGGTCAATTTTGGGGATTTTTGGTAAAGGGTATTCTGTAAATCATGCGTTAAAATAACCAGAACGCTTTTTAAATACCAATTTTCACCTACGATGATTTATTTTCATGATTGGAAAAAGTAAAAACTTCAAACTAACCCTACAATAAAATCACACGTCTTCATCGCTTGATGAAAATACATTTCAAACAGCAAATATGAGAAAAGACGCGCATCGTTTCAATAAATCAATGTTAAACGAGCCCTTTAACGGGATTACATGTGAAAAATTTTGTTGAAGCACTTAATGCAGGTCTACATAATTAATCTGATGGTTTCTGTCCAATGCGAGTCAAATTTTGTATTTCAATTGTAAAACCCCAAAGATGGATAATTAGGAAGTCTTTCATTGGCGGCTTCTTCCCTGTTAGCTAAAATGGCACCTCGGTGAATAAAAACCGAGTCTTACCTTCCAGGAGACGCTGTATAATTGAATCGATGTTCAGCTTGTCGGCTTCCGCCATACTATTCTTCTAATCGGGTCGGGTTTTCTTTGATTTACTTCGAAATTTCAATACGAAAAGATTGTAAAGTAGCTCTCGAGTTTACCGTTAGCTCAAGTAGTTAATCGGCTATCGTTAGCCGCTAGCTAACCTTGGGGGATAATAACAACCTCAAAGTGTGAGGCTGAAGACTGAATTGTTGAATATGTGATGGCTGACATGTGCTTGCAGAAATTTAATTAATCAACGACTTCAAATTTGAATCCTAAAACACTTTTTAAGTGTTTGAAATATCCGCCGCGGCTGCTAGCACAACCATGCCATCGACAAAAAAGGTTAGAAGAGCGTTAGCTCAGAGCGAGGCTGAACGGATGTTGTCCAACTGTATTTGAGCTGCAATTGGTTCGTTTACCTCCGTGGCCGGGATCTGTGGTACAAAATCTGCTATCGGGTTGGCTATTTTCAATGTACGTCAGCATTTAGTCATCTCAAAACCACAACGATAAAAGAGCAAGTGCTCACGGAAATGGATCAAACGTTGTTCTTTGAGAAACTTCAGTTTACTTGAACATTTCCAAATAAATAAATACATCTACAAAATCTGAAATATTTAAGTTTCGGTCGCTTTGTATGTACTGCGCAGAAGCAACACCCATTAAAGAGGCCAAGCTAGACAGAATTGACGTATGATAACATGACGCAATGGGTCCTCTACTGCTTATTCGCCGGCGAGTTTAGTGGTGCATCGAATGGGCGGATGCAACTTACAGTCCGCTACGGTCTCAATGTTTAGGCGGATCGTTCTCCGGCATAACGTTAAGGAACGGACCCACGTCTCAGCGCCTCGCAACACGAACCGAGTGATTCATTCCAAAGTTGAGAGATGGCTTAGCTTAGTTAGCGCTTTCATTGAAATAAATATGTCCGTAATTCGGTTAAACTCCTGCCACTGTAGTTTAGGTTGACAATCTTGTTTATTACATTAAAACAATCCAGCCATGAAGTTGCTCCACAAAGACATTGAGAAAGATTATGCCGGGTGAGTGAAATGTTTCAGCTAATATTAGCAAGCTAAAAAGCATGCTATTGTAGCTGACCAAACATGTGTCATCGTAGTGGTGATGGATACAGGAACATTTACGATCAGTGCTTTATTAGACAATGTACAGAATGAAGCATTATTAACATAATACTGTATTTCCTGATATAGCCAGAGAGCTTTGATGACTGTTCTGTCCCCATCTAATGGGTAAACAATAAGAATCAAACAGTTTTTGTAATTTTTGTTTTACATTCTGCATAAACATTCTATCAAACATTTGGATCAGTCGATGTCTAAAGAACATTTGATCTTGTGTAATCAAACATAAAAGCCAATCAGAAAGCTAGTTTGATGTGTGTTAACACTTCTTCAGTCAGGTAACTCTGATGCCAGAGGAGGCAGAGGATATGTGGCACACCTACAACCTGCTCCAAGTGGGGGACAGCTTGAGAGCCTCAACCATCCGGTAACCTTTGACCTGTGTCGCATAAAGATGAGATGTGCAACTCTGAACATTAAACTATCTCATGACCATTAAACAGACCACTTAGAAGTTGGTTTTAGTTCAGATGAGTTTGTTTCTTCTCTTTTCTGCCTGCTAATCAGTCAGTGTTGTATTTTGATTTGATCCCTTTCACAGTCTGTATGCATGTTAAATTGAACATTAGACTAACAACTAAAGCTATTTTCCCTTGTTGCCACAGAAAAGTACAGACAGAATCCACGACAGGAAGTGTGGGCAGCTCCAGAGTCCGGACAACTCTGACTTTATGTGTGGAGACCATTGACTTTGACTCCCAGGCATGCCAGCTGAGAGTGAAAGGCACCAACATCGAGGAGAACCAGTATGTCAAGGTGGGAAATTGGACCGTAACCCTATAGTAGTCACACTCCGGTGTGTTTTTGTTTTGCTGTATTTGACACCGTTACTAGGGCTTGTTTGGGTTTGAAAACACTTGTCATATTGTGTTTTTCAGATGGGGGCTTACCACACTATTGAATTGGAGCTCAATAGGAAGTTCACTCTGGCTAAAAAATGCTGGGACAGCATTGTGCTGGACAGAATTGGTAATTGGCTGCTGGCTTTTATGCCACAGTTTTAAAATGAGATCATTTGCTGTTGAGAAAGGATGCCATTACAGCTGTTTAGGTTAGTTCCTAAAAATCATGCACAGTATTTTAGTGCTCAGCCTGTATGTTATGGACGATTAAATGTCGTTCACATAAAATTTAAGCTGTAAAATCAATGTGTTTACCAGTTTCAGTGAACTGTAGCAGCCATCCTGAATCAGGTTGACCCCAAGCACAAACCAGGTTGTAGATGTGCTATAAAATATACGTTTTTAGAGTCTTATTGAAATCCATCCAGTGGTTTATTAGATATCTTGCTGACAAATGCAAACAAAAACACAAGTACCCGCCTTTTGGCTTTCAGCAGTGAGTTGTGATAGACCTGCAGTAAAACATTTGTAATGATGTTTGACCCATTTTTATTATTTTCTACCCTTTAGACCAAGCATGTGATCCGGCTCAGAAAGCAGATGTGGCAGCTGTGGTCATGCAGGAAGGTCTGGCTAACGTGGTTCTGGTGACCCCCGCCATGACTCTGCTTCGGGCAAAAGTGGAGGTCACGATTCCTCGGAAGAGAAAAGGCAGCTGCAGTCAGCACGAGAAGGTCAGTCGTCTGGGATGTGTTCTGGTGTGTGCTTTGTTTATGTCTGGATAAACCTGCTTGATTTATTTGAAGAGCAAGTCACTCCAAATCAACATTTTTTTTGCTGATAAACTATATAAATGAGTGTCTTATTGTGCTGTAGACAAATGTAGTCAATAATTTGGCATTTTAGTGCATCTTAGTTAAATTTTAACTATTCTGCCTAAAACTGTCAGCGGTGCACTGTCGTCAGGCAAAAACTCAGCACTGCATTTGAATAGAAATCTGCCATCGCTATTGGCTAAGAGGTACACAATGATGTTAGATGGTACATTATGATGTCACAATGTCGTGAGTGTGTGTATTTGTTAGCGGCTCCACCCTCTCGGTCTGCTAGGCAACAGGAAGTGGGAGTTCAGTAAGAATCTGGCCGTGGGTGACTTGCTCTTTAAGAGTGGTTGCCTTCAGATGGTCATGTAACGATTATTCACGGGTGCATTCAGATAAATCATTTAAAAGGTAAGTGTTGTGCTTGTTTTTTTTTACCAGGCATTGGAGAGGTTCTATGAGGCCGTGATGCAGGCCATTCTTCGCCACATTAACTTTGATGGTAGGACCAACAGACCTACACTTCCACATGTAACAACACAGCATGTTCCTGTTTTCATCACATGTTCCACTCTGAGTTTCACCCGCAGGCTGAATGTAAAAACGGTCTTCTACCCCATCACCTGATTTAGCTGCTGATAGAAATAGACGGAAAAACGCTCAGATTAGAAAAGTCATTCAGATCTACGTCACACTGGAACTTAACATTCATGGGCTCATCCATCTTGACTCACGATCAGGAAGGCTGTTGCTGGTTTAACAGCCAGGAAACGGCAGAGAACTTATCTGCCTCGTAGAAGCTAACCGTTAGCATGAGCAACTCCACCACACAGCAGAACTACTTCAGGCTTGTATTATATGGGGAGATAAAACGTCAACATTGCAAAGTAAACAGTCAGAGGTAGAGTTGTTTTGCTGTTAGCCAATCAGAGGTGAGATGTCCGAATATCAGGAAATAAAACTCCAAATCCTGTCATGATCGTCTCCTCTCTCCTCTGACTCACTTCTACTTCCTGAAATAGGAATGTCAGAGCTTCTTCCTCACAGAGACCGACTCACAAGTCATTCATTCATACCAGAGACCACAGCAAATGTATTGAAAAAGTGAGTGAACTTGGTCTGTAGACTGAATCAAAACAACTGTGTTAATCTCTGTTTTGGACTTCTGTCAGTGGTGAAGTGTATCCTCGTGGCCAGTCCAGGCTTTGTGAAGGACCAGTTTTCTGCCTACCTCTTTAAAGAGGCGGTGCGACAGGACATCAAGATCCTCCTGGAAAATCGACCCAAATTCATGCTGGTCCACTCATCATCAGGCCATAAGTATTCACTCAAAGGTAGGAGCTGCTGCGCACTGAGAAAAACAGCCAAGCTGAAGATAAAACAAAACACTTTTTTTTGTGCAGAGATCCTTTGTGACCCCTCTGTGACAAGTAGGCTTTCTGATACTAAGGTGAGTATACATCTTCTGGTTGTCCAGTTTTATTAATCATCCAAACTATCTGCAGGCCATCGTGTGCATGTTTGGGCTCAGAACCTAAACATGTGGTATTTGTGTGTAACTCTCAGGCAGCTGGAGAGGTGAAAGCTCTGGATGACTTCTACAAGATGCTTCAACATGAACCAGACAGAGCCTTTTATGGGTAAGAGGTGATGGATCCGAACTTCCAGCTGTGTCCAGAGGGGTTCTTCTCATTCACTCTGGTCTTTGTGTCTTTTCCCTCCTCACAGAATCGCTCATGTAGAAAAAGCCGCTGATGCCCTCGCCATCGACACGCTGCTCATCAGTGATAAGCTGTTCAGGTGCGCACAGAGAGATCTCCCAAGAGCATTACAGCTGTTTTTATGTTAAGTTTAAGCTCTTTAAAGTTTTACGTGTGTGTGTGTGTGTGTGTGTGTGTGTGTGTGTGTGTGTGTGTGTGTGTGTGTGTGTTTTCAGACACCAGGACGTCCCCACTAGGAGTCGTTATGTTCGGTTGGTCGACAGCGTCAAAGACAATGGAGGAACTGTCAGGTAGCTTAAAAAATACTGTTTTTATTTCCTACAACTGACACACACACACACACACACACACACACACACACACACACACACACACACACACACACACACACACACACACACACACACCCTGCTGGTCTGTAAAATTGTGAAAATTCTGTTTTCAGGGTTTTTCAACCATTCTTAATGCTTTATTCTAATAGTTCTGTTATTTATACACGCCGTTCATTTTTCTCATGCAGGATATTCTCAAGCCTTCACGTGTCTGGTGAACGTAAGCAACAAACTCATTTCACACAAACGAAACTTTCTCATGGTTAACACGGTTAAGAGCACATCTTTCCCTGCTGGTGGATACAGTCACTGTTTTTAAGCTAACTGTGAGGCTCATTCCAGCTCTAGTAGTGATTTATGCATGGGCTGCATGGTGGCGCAGTGGTTAGCACGAAGGCCGAAGGTTCAAAACTCGGCTGCAGCCTTTCTGCGTGGAGTTGCGTGTTCTCCCCATGCGTGCGTGGGTTTCCTCCACAGATCATAACATGCCCTATAGGTTATCAATTGTAAGTCGCTTTGGATAAAAGCGTCTGCTAAACACATAAACATAAACACATAAACATTTATGTTATTTGGATAAAAAAGCTAGATGCATCAGCAGGAAGATCAGCTGTTAAAACCAGCAGGGGGAGTGTTTATGTTTGAATATTTGAGTGTTTCCTGCGTTGTTATTGTTGATCCCAGTGAAGAAAACACACTAAAAGTGTTGTTTATAGAATTCTTGTCTAAATCCTTGTACAGTCCAGTTTAAATCCTTTGAAACCACTGTGTTGATTATTCAACTATGACTATTTTTTGTTGTTGGTTGCTTTATTTTTTTGTAGCTTCTTGCAAATTTTACTAAGTTAATTTTCCACAAAAGACCCGTTAGAGGTCAAAACTCTTATCCAAAAGGATCAGGCAGGTGTTTTAAAGCGTGTTTCTGTATAAAAGTTGTAAATAATCAAGGGGAAAGTTTCACATCTGCAGTAATAATTAATTGTTCTCAGCACTGAGGTCACCGCCACACTTAAACCTAAGCCCCACCCGTGGAGAAACAGCCTGCAGGTGAATGATGCTGACCTTTCTCCTCAGAGCTGACTCAGCTGAGTGGAGTGGCCGCCATCCTGCGGTTCCCCATCGCTGATCTGTCGGAGCCCGAGGACGACAGCAGCTCCGCCGAAGACTGACTGTGTGCTGCTGAGCGTATACGTCCTGCCTCTCCAACAACCACACCTCAAACAAACGTACAAGCCTTCCTCCACCGACTGCAGTGGCACACAGTTGGGTGTGTTTTGGAGTGTTTTGATGCATTTTGGTTTGACTTTGAGAAGGCTGAACTGGGTGCCAAAACAAATCAACTTTGTAGCAACAAGACAAATTCCTCACTATCCAGCTGTGTATACATGACTTTCTCCTCTTGCAAATAAACATCAGCCGCACGGCGTCCCACTCGTCGCTTTGGCTCTGTCTCCTGAACGGTTTGAATGTATTAAAAACAAACAAACAAAATGTAGAAAATATATACTTTATTACATGCTGTTCTTTCATTTTAAGTCTGAAGACTTAGTAGGTTTGGGTCACATGGCCTCAAAAACTACTGCATATCAACAAACTAAATCAAGTATGCTCAGGATTTTTCTTTTATTAAAGCAATATGTGAGTTCCACAGTTATAGAGCTGTTGGTTCCTCTTCTTCTCTGGCAAATATTTAAATGATAAATCTTTGTGACAGTTAGAGCAACTAAGACTAAAGTGCATTTTAAAGGGCTCGGGTCAGTACAGGACACTGGAAGGTCTTAATCCAGGTTAAATCCTCCACGGTGCCCCAGTGCAGGTAGATGATGGAGCAGATAACCATAACATGCATTATCTGGTGGCTGTTGCCCCAGTTGTCAAACAGACCTGGGCAGAAGCGCTCTGGGATCTGGATGATGTTGACCAGTCCTCCCAGTACAGCGAAAGCATCCATGGTGACGAACAGACGCATGGAGTTGGGACTGCCAACACCGGCTCCGTAAGCCCGGAACAAGAAGAGGCTGAAGCGGAACAAAGCCTGCCAGATGAAGGATCGCAGACGCAAGATGTTGGTGTGGGCCGTGGTGGCGCAGTAGATGCCGTAGGCTGACAGGACGATGTAGACCAGCAGGGCGGTCCGTTGCACAGTCGGGTGGCAAAGCAGGGTGATGTAAATGATGGGCAGTGCTCCTGGATAACAACAAAAGGAGGAATTATTGGTTTTTTTAGAGTAAAGGTGGAGGCTGTACTGAAACCTTTAATGAATTCACAAAGAGACACAGATATTTGCCCTACAGATATTTAACTTAGATTATCAAAATAAACTTTATAGATTGAGATATAGATTTCTGGCCTTGAAGTAATGCAGGTGAAAATATGTGTCTTCTGATTGGCTCGTTGAAGCCCAGGATGCTTAGGAACATCTTTTTTCCAGTAAATCCTTCATTCAGTTTAAGACTATTGACTGACAAGAAACTGTAAAGGTCCACGTTTTCTTGTTTGAAAGATGCCCACTCATACCTTTGCAGTGGTCTGGAGTAGGAATGAATGCCTTTGAAGTCGTGCTCGGGGGCAAAAACAACCTCTGATGCTTCCTTAGGAAACTTTGTACTACTTGTCATTAACTGAACTCCGTTGGAATGTTTACTTTGTGAAGTGCCTTGAGATGACTCTTGATGTAATTTTGATATAAATGAACAGATTTGAATTTAATTGTTTAATCCTGGAGAATAACAGCAACATGACTCTACCAGCTTATTCCATTAGCTCTGCAATGTTGATGTTTTATCTTGACAAATAACACAACTAGCAGAAACTAACTTAGCATTAGCAACTTCACCACACAGTAGAACTCCTCCAGGCTTGTGTTATTTGTGAAAATAAAACATCAACATTGCCAAGTAAACAGTCTATGATCGATTGCGTTGCTTTTGTCCAATCTGAGGCGAGATGTCCAAATATCAGGAAATAAGACTCCAAACCATCTGAAGCTCAGTTGTTATGTGGCTCACTTCTAGTTCCTGGAAACCAAAACTTAAAAGGCATTTATTTCTACTAGAGACCACTGCAAATGTATTGATAAAACAAGTGCTCAACACCTTTAAACACTGATCATTTTTCAAAAATGATGAGTAAAAATGGTTTCTCAGTGATGGAGCAGACTAGAGCAAGCAAATATTGTTGGGAAATGACACTCTAGCAAGAACAATTGTCTGAACCTTTTTAACAAAAGACTGGTTTAGTCTATAAAGCCCCAACTGCTGAGTGTAGGAATTCAACCAGAAGAGAACATCAGAGCTTGTAGTGACTGTGTTTCAGTAGCATTACCCAGAGTGTTAACTAGACAGACCCCAACCATGTCCAGGGAGAGCAGGGTGTTGTAGACGTGTTGTCCTCCCACGTGGTTCATAAACAGATGGTAGAGCACCGAGCCGACGGTGGGGCAGAGGCAGGCTAGGTAGTGGACCATGCATATCCATGTGTTGTCCACCTCCATCCATGGGATGCTGTAAGGCAGCATCACCAAGAAGAGGAGGAAAGGGATACCTGATGAGACAGAAGAGAGGAAAACAAATTTTAATCTGAAATAAAGTGGCAGAATACAGAGACTTTATCACTTTGAGTTCTACAAGATGTGCTGAAATAATATATTAGTGTACCTGGGTGGGTTTTGTAGCCCAAGTTTATAAAATTGCTAATAAATAATAGGAAATATGAATTTAAATTAGATTTAAACCCTTTCCAATTTTCTGGAAGAGGCTTTCGTAAGTCAGGCACATGTATGTCTCCCCTCACCACTTCATCTTATTCTTCGTGCAACACAAGAGACACTGTGTTGCTGAATTAGCTGACTGCAAACACAGCGGGTTCTGATGTTTATTGGTTTAAAGAGGAATCAATCACTTGTCTCATCACAATGCCATAATTAAAAAATCTCACCAATAACTGCAAGTTTTGCATCTTAAAGGCGAGCTTCTTATTGCTGTACTGGCTTGAGTTTGTCACTCCCAGCTCTAGAAACACACAGCAGAACTTAATTAAAACTAGGGATGCACCAATACCGATCCCAGTGTCGGTATCGGTAAAAGTTAACCGATACCAATACAGTTGCTTGAAAATGGCTTCACTGTAACTTGTCATTTCTGTGCACCTAATATTTTAGTTTTGTGATGATTTTTATTCATATATTTTACTTTTTATCTATCTCACAGTCTTTTTCTGTTGAAAGCAGAGAAGAAAATAAAATCTGTATTCCAAATCATTGCATTTTTTTGTGTGGTAGAAGTATCGGTGTCGGCGAGTACTCAGATCCAAGTATCGGTATCGTATCGGTTTGGAGAAAAAGGGGTTTCGTTGCATCCCTATTTAAAACGTCCAATAAAATAGTGGCAATGGCACCAAAAGCATGAGTCTACCTTCAGCTGCTTCCTGATTCTTTAACTGTGACCTATTAGCTTTTTTCTCTTATTTTCTTGTTATTACAACGTTTATTTAAAGTGACAATGTGTATTTTCCTTGGTGATAGGAGCAGTCCATACCTAAATCATTACAAGCAAGCAGTATTTTTGTGTTCAAGACTTTACCAACGGAGGGCCGTTAGGGTAAAAAAATCCCTGGGAGTGCAACCTCCAGCAAAACGACAAGCACATCAGATTTCTTTCATCACTGACAACGAGTGAAGAGGTAAATGTGTAAAACAAAACCAATAAAGGACGGGGTAAAGTTTTGCAAATGTTTGTTACAAATCAGTAAATACATTTATTCCTCACAGGCTCCCGTAGAAGGAAATATGGCGTCTACTATGATGTCGCGCAGAGAGACCCACTCCCATGTATTTTAGACCCGATTTTTATGCCTATGCTACAAAATCAATACTATTTTTGAACAACTGGGCATAATTTAATTCATTTACAACGTGATTCTGATGGATATTTAAAGTCATAATATGGTAGTTTTTTTTACATGCTTCTGGTTTGTGTGAAAGCAAACTTTGAAGCAAGTGAGCGGTAGTCTAACGCTATTGGTTAGTTCTGTTCAGCGCTCAGTTTCCTATTGCACGGAGCTCTGTGGGGCAGGGGGCGTGCATAGCAAAAAAAAAACATTATATAACATACATTATATCACAGTACATGATAAGATAATCACTTTTACGGATTTCTGACAAATCATACATCATTTCTGAAAGTGGAAAACTCCAGAAAGCTGCTTTATTACAAGTGGCTGCATAATATTTGGTAAATGATAAATGGCCTGTATTATAGCACCTTATACAGTCCTAGAATCTCCCCAAGGTGCTTTACAACCCAACCAGTCTTTCACTCATGTACACACATTCACGCACTGGTGGTGATGAGCTACAGCCACAGCTGCACTGGAGGCGAGGCTGCCATACACAAGCGCCACTGGTCCCTCCGACATCCACAAGCAGGCAAAGAAGATGAAGTGTCTTGCACAAAGACTCGACTGCAACAGTCTGAGCAGGGCACAAACCTGCAACCCTCCAGGGATGGGCTCTTAACTCCTCTGCCAGCAGCATATTTGCCCCCCCCCCCCCCCCCCCCCCGGCATCAGTGGAGACTGAGTCGTTGGTCAGCATATGTTTGTCAGCTGTCTAAAGTTGCTCAGAAAATTTCCTCAGAAATGCTCTTCAAAATATCCGAACTCTGGCTTTAAGCTTACAGAAATATGAATCTGACATTGATTTTCTGTCAGTATTTCAGACAAAAAGAAATAGAAGGAAGTGTTTTTTACAGTGCCTTTGAAGATGTAAATCACTAGGCGCTTCACAAGACTGAGCAAAATTTGGTTAGATAAAATAAAACATTCAAACAGAAGGGGAAAAAAGGGTTGAATCACCACAAAAGCAGCCAAAAAAAAAGCAAAACACAGATGAAGAAAATCTGTGTAAAATTAGCATTCACAACAAATTCACTGCTGCTAAATGAACGATTCACAACGGGCAAATAAAAAGCACAAATTGGAATGGGATGAAGCATCACTTACTATTTCTACCTCTATATAAACCACACACACACACACACGTGTTTAAAACAAATACCATCTAGGATAACTATATTATCATAACACCAGTCATTCTTATTCTTGTCTATATTTGGTGCAAACCAGTCGTTTAATTGTTTTATTGAAATATGTGTATTTGTACTTGCGTATTTACCTGAAATATTTTACTATCTTCTTCCTTTCTCTAAGTGTATGTGCTCCTGTAACAAGTGAATTTCCCTACTGTAGGATTAATAAAGTCTATTCTATTATATATCTATATTTTGTTTTATTCTTTCATCCGTTTTGTCCCATAAAATGACTCTTTTTAAGTTTGGTTCCATCATAATGATATTTCATATTTAAATCCTTAATTCCAGGGGTTAGGAGTTCCTGTATTGAATAAATAGTTGGTTTGAACCCAGGCTCCATCCGTCAGTCATGTCCTTGGACAAGACACTTCATCTATCATGTGTTAGTGGTGGTCAGAGGGGCCGACGGCACCAAATGGCAGCCTCGCCTCTGTCAGACCTCCCCAGGGCGGCTGTGGCTACAAGTAGCTTACCATCACTAGCAGTGTGTGAATGTGAGAGTGTGTGAAAGCGTCTTTGGGTGTCTAGAAAAGCGCTATATAATTTCAATGCATCATCATCATCCTCGTTGCCTGCTGGTGGTTGCCAGAGGGACTGGTGGCGCCTGTTTTTTGTAGGCAGACTTTTATCAGGCTGGTTTTTATTGACTCTACATGAATAACACTGTCCTAAATTCTAATAAGCCTTTAAACTTTAAAATGTGTTATTTTAAGAACAACCTGTTCTTGGATATAATAGATCAATAGACAGATCCTTTTTTCACCTCACAGAGAAATTCCCAGTAGCAGTTTAAAGGATAGAGGGGTTCAATCCTCATAAAAAGTACATCCAGCTACTTGCTCCAGACCGACATTTCCTCTCGTTTAATATTTTACAACAAAGTCAGCGATAGTTGGTTTGATGAGCAGAGGAACCTGTAGGTCTGCAAAGCTGATTAATTCACTTCTTCTTAGTAAGCGTGTTACTGTTAATGAACTTATGTGACAGCCAAAAAGAAAATGGGACAAGGACAAAACACCCTCAGAGGGTTTAGACCTCAAGGTCATGCCTTCTATTCTCCATCTTTACTGGTTCAGCACAGTTAAACTCTTGACAACAATGTCCAAGTTCAATTTTAAGGACAAGCTGTGTTGTGTTTGCACCTGACTGTTCCGCTCAGATCGGTACCTACACTGTCTTGTATATATTAGCCAGTTCTCTAATTATTGCCTCTCTATATTATCTTATTGTGCTTATTTCTTATTTTTTTGTACCAAGTACTGCAGCAATTTCCCAACATTGTGATTTCTCACATATATGGCAATAAAACCCCTCTGATTAAGAAGTTTTACAGTTTAGATCAAAATGATACCGTTCTCTAAGAGCTTATATTTTGTCTCTGTCTAGGAATTTCTATCTTACAGCATTAGTCACCTTTAAAGACTTATTTAGTCATTGGATATTTCCAACTCTGGGATTCCCAGGGCAGATTACACCTAATACCCAAGATCCTCATTATGCTCTTGCCGAGGATGCTCCCAACCGGACAAAAGTGAAAGTAGTGGACACGTGGAGACCGGCTTTGCTTGGACATCATTAAAGCTCCATACCTAAGGTTTATTTTAAACACTCTAACCAGAAGACCAGGTGTTGAAGTGGATTCCCAAAGAAAAGCTGATTAATATCAACTTACCATGAGTGTAAATGTTCCCTAGCTCATTGTGCATGTAGAAAAGGCTCCTGAGGCACTCCTGGACGGTGGACACGGGCCGGTAACCTGTCAGGACGTACTTGTTGAACTGCAGGTATGGAGGGGCCTTTGCAAAGTCCACGAGCCGCGGCCCTTGGTAAAGCACCGTCATGGCTTCATGCATCCAGTGCCCTATTTAACATGTTCCCCTACATTTACATCCTGGTGAAGACCGGCAGGTTCTCTCAGCTGCAGTTATGACATGATTGTCGGAAAACCCTCGTCCCTGAAGCCCTTCATCGGACAGGCGTAATTCCACGCAACCTGTTGAGCTGTCCAAGTGGCATGGATTCAGAGGAGCCAATCAGCAGGCAGCTTTTATTCCTAATCTGGTGTAATCCTTGCAAATAGCCATGTGCAGTGCTGCTGACTCTCCTAGTCATTGCTAATGACTAGTTCACACTTCAACTTTATGTATTACAGGAGTATTTCCCTTTTGGTAAACTTGAAAAACTCATATCACTCATGCCCGTCTAAAGATGTGCTGCAGAAGGGATGATCAGATAAAAACAAGTAGGGGGGGGGGGGGGTTCACATAAAAGATTAGAACAAGGTTGGGATTTCAGGGTTTTAATCAAATACTGTACAATAATGAACAAAGTCTGGTAGAAAGTTGCAAAAATCACTTCTATAAATTATTATTCATATTCTTGATGCAGTGATTAGAGGTAAATGTTCTGCTAGCTCAGCTAAAACAACAGCTTTGGTACAAATAATGAGGACCTGCAGCAGAAAAAAAAATTCAAAAATAGAGGAAACCACAAGTGCAGAACAAGAAAAACAACTAAACAAGCAAAAGTAACAAAAAAACAGGTGAAAAACATGAAATACACAGAAAATTAGGGAAGCCAAACCAAAAATGTATTCATGTACATACTTACAAACACAGACCTAGTATACTATTAAAAAGAGAAAACACTTTAATGTACAATGAGGAAATAAAGATCAGGAAGTGATGAAACTGGTATAGTCAACAGTGTCAACCTACAGGGAGAAAAAACACACAAAAGGATATAAGCAATTAATCTAATTATAAACCTGAAAGAAACATCTGAGTCAGGTCATTCTCACCCTGATGATCACTATTCCCAAAGAAGCCATTCAAGTCGTATTTCTTTCCTCCTGAGGACAGAAAAAAAGTTTTTAAACGATTCTTATATCTGCACACAATTACAATTAATGCCAGTACACACTTAATGCGAGTACTGTTTGTTTGGAACATCTTACTCAGAAAATCACAAACCAGTTAAACATGCTAACCTGACAAACAGGATGCATAGTAAGACAGTGGTTTGATTCTGATGTCATTTAATTTTTATGGACCCAAAAAAGATAAAAGCTACAAAAAAAAAAAGATTAAAATTTGTCATAGAGCTGCTGATATGTGAAATTAGCTATTAGGAAAAGCTGGTGTTAATGCCGACCAAAGAAGTGAGCTAGACATTTACCGTAATTGAATATTTAACAATTATTTCAATGGGCTTGGTGTAACTATTCATCCATCCATCCATTTCCGGCCACTTATCCGGAGTCAGGTTGCGGGTGCAGCAGCCTACAAGCAGGGAGGCCCAGACTTCCCTCTCCTCAGCCACTTGAGCCAGCTCCTCCAGTTGAATCCTAAGCAACACCAACCACCTGTCGATTTTGCGCTCCATCTTTTCCTCACTTGTGAACAAGACCCTGAGATACTTAAACTCCTTCACTTAGGACAGGACCCCATCCCTCTGAAGGCATTCTACCCTTTTACGACTCAAGATCATGGTCTTGGATTTAGAGGAGCTGATTCTCATCCCAGCTGCTTCACACTTGGCTGCAAACCGCTCCAATGAGAGCCAGAGACAATGTTCTGATGAAACCCACAGAACCACATCATCTGCAAAAAGCAGAGACTCAATCCTTAGGCCACAAAAACGGATGCCCTCAACACCTTGGCTGCACCTAGAAATCCTGTCCATAAAAGTTATGAACAGAATCGGTGAAAAACAGCTGCCTTGGCGGAGTCCAACTCTCACTGGAAACAAGCTCGATTTACTGCCGGCAATGCGGACTAAGCTCTTACACCAGTCATACAAGGACCTAACAACCCAAATCAGAGGGCCTGGTATGCCATACTCTTGAAGTACACCCCACAGGGCCACTCGAGGATGCAGTCAAACGCCTTCTCCAAATCCACAAAACACATGTAGATTGGTTGTGCGAACCCTCCAGGACCCCCCTAAGGGTATAGAGCTGGACCAGTGTTCCAGTGAAAACCGCATTGCTCCTCCTGAATCCGAGGTTTAGCAATCCATCGGACCCCCCTCTCCAGAACCCCTGAATAGACTTTACCAGAGAGGCTCAGGAGTGTGATCCTCCTGTAGTTGGAACACACCCCTTCCAGAACTCTGAGATCAGCAGATCAATTACTCCTGTGCATCCCAAAGATAAATTACAAATCTCGTGAGGAGCGGGCCTCATTTGCTGCCCCCAAACTATGGAATGGACTTCCCCTACATGTATGACAGGCCCCGTCATTAGGTGGGTTCAAGTCAGTACTCAGAGCCAATTTTTACGGGCCTATTTTTATTTTATTTGTACGGGCGAGACGTGTGACATGGTCAAAATGGCGTTGGCGGTAACCTCTCATTTGGAAACAAAACCTTATAATTTGAGCCTTTGGACATTAAATGTCCAATATATATGTTGATGGTCTGAACAAGGTGGTCATTATGGACCATCCATGAAGAGCACAGAAGTCCAAAAAATAAAACTCAAATGCAGATCAGTGGGGCCATTCCTCCTCACTACACCTCTCCAGGTGTCACTGTTGTTGCCCACTTGAGCGTTGAAGTCCCCCAGCAGAACGAGGGAGTCACCAGAAGGAACGCTCTCCAGTACCTTCTCCAAGGACTTCAAAATGTATTTTTGTGCATGAGCACAGACAACAGCTTTGTAGCCTAAAGCTCTGTCAGGTGCTTATAAATTTATTCAAATAAAAAATTACTTTTAGTAAATTTTTCTTGATTAAATTTATGTTCTCAAACCACATGTGGGATTTTCTAGAATCTTGATGAACAATACTAATGGAAACTGTGTTGTCTCGCCTAGACACGGGTAACTGGTGCTCCCCTCTGGAGCTAACAATGGAGTTGGGCTACGTTAGCGAGCGCCTGGTGGCCGGGCTTTTACCCATGTAGCCCGGCTGGGTACAACCCAAAGAGGAGACATGAGTCCCCCTTCCCATGGGCTCACCGCTCATTGGAGTGGTCGGGTGGATTTAGAGATGGGTGGTAGCAAAAGGTGGGGACCTTGGCGGTCTGATCCTCAGCTGCAAAAGCTAGATGTTGGTTTGTGGAATGTCACCTCTCTGGTGGGGCAAGAGTCTGAGTTGGTTTGTGAGGTTAAGAGTTGACCCCACTTTGATGCACAGAGCGGGAGTTTGCATACTTGTTGCCCCCCATCTTGGCACCTGTATATGTTGGAGATTACCACAGTGAACGAGAGGGTAGCCTCCCTCTATCAATGTGTGGAGGGATGGGTCCAGACTGTTGTTTGTGCTTACACACCAAACTGCAGATCAGACTACCCACCCTTTTTTGGATCCTTGGAGGGGGAGCTGGAGAGAACTTCATCCGGGGACTCCCTCATTCTGCTGGGGGACTTCAATGCTCACATGGCCAATGTCAGTGAGGCCTGGAGAGGTTTGGTGGGGAGAAAAGGCCCCCTGATGTGAATCTGACCAGTGCTTTTTAAAAATTGATTCTGTTCATAACTTTTATGGACAGTATTTCTAGGTGCAGCCAAGGTCTTAGATTGGTTTTTGGTGGCCTAAAGACCAGGGGTCTCATTTATCAAATATTGCGTAGAATCCTTACTAAAACCGTACTTAAGCTCAGCAAAAAAAATGTCCTTACACCAAGTAGGTTTGTGATCTATCAAACATGGAGTACGCACAGCTGCACGCAATCTCCGCTTCATAAATCAGAAACTATCTAGAAAGTTTCTCAGCTGCATTTTAGTCACATCCCGCCCTCACCACGCCCACTTTCTGCCATAAATGGTCAATGCAAAGTGCCTTGTGGATCTCATGCATATATATAAGCCGGCTGTTGCAGCTCTCCGCCAATGACGATGGCGACCGTAGATCAAGGCAGATCAAGGAAGCGCAAAATCACAGAAGTAAAAAATGAGGTACCTGTGGGTGAGGTGGAGAAATGAAAGGAAGTGCTTTTGCAAAACAAATAAGAGAAAATCCACGGAGTGGCACAGCGTTGCTGAAGCCATCAATGTTGTGAATTCTTCAGAGAGATCAGTGGCGGATATAAAAAATAGTCCAATAGGGATTCAATCCCCAGACTCCCAGGTGAAGGTCATGCATGCTAACCAGTCACCCAAACAGAGATCTCCTTTGTCCAAGTAGCCAGGGCGCATGATCAATCGGGTCACAGTGGCAGGACACACACTGTCAAAGACGCATGACATTCTGTCTCAATCTGTCCCCCTGCTGATATTCTGCATTCCGTATTCTGCGCTTCAGGCTGTGTGTGTGTGTGTGTGTGTGTGTGTGTGTGTGTGTGTGTGCGTGCGCACGTGTGTGCGTGCGCATGTGTGTGTGTGTGAGTGTGCGCATGCATGTGAGTGTGTGTGTGCATGTGTGTGTGTGTGTGGGGGGGTCTTGTTCTGTGTGAAAATGAAGCAGTACAAGTGATAATGTTGCAGGATTTCATAATTGTATCCTTCTCAGCAGCAGCACTGCAGGTGCTCTCCATGTCCAACATGTGTGTAAGCCAGGTCCTTAGTCAACTTAAAGTTGTGCACATTTTTCCGCTAAGTTTTCTTTCATGAATCCCAAAGTTTGCGTGGAAAGTTGCTTACGCAGTTTTCCGACCCCGTTTTGTATGTAAGCAAGCTTGATAAATGAGGCCCCAGATCTCTACTTTTAGCAGATGATGCGCTCATTTTGGCCTCATCAGACAATGATCTCCAGCTTTTGCTAAAATGGTTTACAGCAGAGTGTGAAGCAGCTGGGATAGGAATCTGCTCCTCTAAATCCAAGACCATGGTCTTGAATTGGAAATGGATAGATTGCCTCCTCCAGGTCAAGTGGAGGCAGGACCATGGTCTTGTTGATGAATAAAGGAAAGATGGAGAGGGTGGTCGACAGGAAGCTTGGTGTTGCATCTACAGTGATGTGGGTGTTGTGCTGGTCTGTAATGGTATAGAAAGAGCTGAGCCAGAAGGTGGAGCTCTTGATTTACCAGTTCATCTATGTTCCTACCCCATATGGTCATGAGCTTTGGGTAGTGACCGAAACAATGAGATTGCAGAATGAGTTTCTCCGTGGGCCATCTGGGCTCTCCCTTAGAGATGCAATGAAAAGTTCTGTCATCCGGGAGGAGCTTGGAGTAGATCCGCTGCTCCTCCACATTGCATGAAGCCAGTTCAGAAGGCTTGAGCATCTAGTTAGGATGTCTCCTGGATGCTTCCTTGGTGAGGTTTTCTAGGCACATCCAAGTTTGAGGAGGACTAAAGAAAGACTCAGGACATGCTGGAGGGACTGTTTCTGAGCTGGCGAGGGAATGACTTAGGATTCCCCCGGAGGAGCTGGCCCAAGTGGCTGGGGCGAGAGAAGTCTGGGTCTCTCTGCTTAGCCAGTTGCCCCGGTGACCCAACCCCAGATAAGCAGAGGAAAATAGATGGATATTTAGAGCATGGATCAATATGGGTGGTTTAATCTTCATCCAACTATCAAGTGATAGAAAAATATATTACTCATTTCCCTCATTTAGGTCTCACCTTGTGGATGAAAGTGCAGCTTGAGATGCTGCTGAATGTGGACCTGCCGTGGCATCTCTGAATCATCAGGATGCTCAGACACCTGGATCTCATCCTGCGTCTCAGAGGTAGCTGCAGATTCGAGGAGGCTGCCGGTGTCCTCAGGATCAGTTAAGTCCTGCACACCATCGTCGATCAGCTCAGCAGGTGTGAAGGAATCACCGCGGACAGAAGAGTAGACCGCGGTGGAGCTGGGAGTGGGAGCTGACCGAAATGCAACCACTGAAGAAGAAAAGAGGGACATCTGCTAAATCTATGAAAAACAAATCTTTGCACTTTTGAAGGAGACATAATATGACTTTTGTCCTAAATTTATAATAGTGCTATGGTCGATACAAAACACGTTTATGAAGTTCATTCCACAAAATGCCTCTTGCATTAAGTGATCTCAGCAGTTTTTTCAGTATCTTCCAGAATAAGCCATTTCAGGGCTCTGTCATTTTAAATAACAAACTGAAGCTGGCTATGCCCACCCACCCTGCTGCTCAGGCTGCTATAAGCTGAGAAACTCCAATATCCAAGATGGGCTCAAAGTAAAGCCGCTGTTTCTCCAGCATCTTCTTGCATGTGAAGGCTGATTTAATTCTAATTATCCCATTTGTGACATCACAAACAGGGACTTTTAAAATGGCCTGTTTTAAGGACATAATTCCTAAAACTGAACTCTGACAGAAAACCAATGGACAGGTTTTTTGGAGTGTTCGTAGAGTTAGTAGAAACCCATATGGGAGCACGATAGGATGCAAAAGGTGAATTCTATGTAATATGTTCCGTTTAAAGTTCTTCATTGAGTCGTTTTATTTTTACCATTTGGCTGCACTTGTCCATTTATGTAACCCATGTTTTCTGAAAGTAACAAATGAATATTTCATTAGAAAGTGCAGTAAAGCTGCAGCAGATAAATGTGCAGATTTCCACTCACCATATTTATTTCCAGCTGTTCTCTCACCTTCAGCTGCAAGCACTGAGATCGGCGCTTCTCCCTTTACTGTGGGTTAAGAAGGAAAACATAAATTCAGACAAATAAAGGGTTTTTTATTGAAAATGTGAAAGAACACAACAGCACCGTAAGCTTTTGCAGCTGAATCTGATCCAGGCAGTCGAGGCTCATAAATCACAGCAGCTGTACCTGTTCAAAACAAAAGAAAACATATTTATGTGCATGCTTCTATCCACACTGGGTCAAACATACATTCTCAATACCTTCAGTTGCAGACTCCAAAGGCTGTGACTGATAAGCTCCTTGTTTATCTGTTGTGGAATTAGGATGTGTTTTTTACAACTTTGTTTCAACACGTGATAAAGCAAAGAATGAGAAAATACTGCAGCTTCTGAAGGTGGAAATATATCATGGAATTTAGTTTCATGATTTTATTTTGAGAAAACAAGTAAGTTATCTTGATATGTTCCGATGACAACGGATAGAGGCTAAAAACGTGTTATAAATGATCTCAGTGTAATTAATGTCTGTGATACTAAATGAAACCAGACATAATAGAAAGACGGCCTGATTTTGCTCAACAAATATTTTATCATTACAAAATACTTCCAGAGTAAATGAAGGTTTCATATCTAAAGGTGAAATACAAATGGCTACATGTTTAAATCACAATCTCAAGAAAACCACATCAAAATAATTTATGTGAGGTGTGGCTGTTTTCACTTTTCGTACCATATTTTCCAGATTGCGTTTTCCCACCAAAACCAAAAATCTGGGTCCCATAGGGAACCTGTGCTGCACCTTAACAAGAAATCCATATTAAATATTTCACATAGTACAGTTAAAAACACTTTTTACTTTTAGTCAATGTTACCAAAACATCCCTTTGATCCAGGTAGTTCTGAATGACAGTAAAGATAGACGACATACAACAAATAAATCATTCTTTTTAATTTCAACAATGCATAGATCTGTTTAATTATCAAGCTGTTACAATCAAGTGGTTTATTTACTTGTGAGCAATTAATGTAAGAGTTAAAGGTGCAAAATGGAAAAATTCTTCAGTGAAACAATCACAATATAATCAAATTTCTCAATCATGCTGAAAGGAAAGTAAAATTGAAACAAATTTCATTCCCAGCCAGCAGAGGAGTTGTCAGTTTTTCTCCTTTTGGAAAAAACAAAGGATGGATTTAGTGAGCCTACGAGGTTGCTGAGTTTGCACTGAGCCAACGCTGCAGCGTCGGCATTTGTAATTTGGCAATGGCAGGCAAAAAGCTCCAGAGTTGATAAAAGGACCGAAGCCAGTAAACAGGAGCGACCCAGAAGTTATTTATAATGCCCCTAAGAAAGCACAGCATTGCTAAATAAAAATAGTTTCTTCTTCTTCTTCTTCTTTTTGGTTCACTCTAAAATCGGGTGAAGCGGGCTAGAAGCTAATGAGCTAACAATGCTAACTGTGAATTAGAAACAAATAGTTTTTCACTTACCAACAATTCGACATCACAGTGAAAGGTGTGTGTGTGATGTGAATAATGAGTCAATCGTGGTGTTTTACTTCTATTAATGAGTTGTTCAGAACTATAACAGCGAGCAAACACGCTTCCTCTAATGCAGAAGACAAACTGTCATAAAAGTGGAATAAGTGCTCACTACCATATAACACCCAAGAATGCTAGCACTAAATGTTACAATGTATTTATCAGGGGTGCCGACTCAAAATTGATTAATAAACAATTATAAATAAATGCTTAAAAACAGCCACGAAGCATGGTAGGAACATTATGCATGCCGCCCAGACACTTTAGGGGGACGGACCAGCGGATGAAACAAAACTGCAGTGGTAGAAGCTTTTTTATTAGCTTCAGCCACTGTGTGTGAGAATCACTCATCAGAAGGATTAAAGGAAATTTGTTTAAAACAAATAGAATACAACAGCAACATTACCAACATGCAACAGCACCTTACACGTTTCCATCCTGGGTCAGATAAAGAGAAGAAACCGATGGTTGTTCCTCCTAACCAGCCAACAATCGAGGAAGGATCAACAAAACTTTCCTGACACTCCAGCCTTTTCATAAAACAATGTCATTACTTTACTGCAAAGCTGAGGCAGCACTAGGGAGCCTTTGGGTATAAGTGGTCAGTTTGTGGAGCGATCATGTTTTTTCACAAAGATTGTGTGATGGTGGAATAGAGTGTGTGAGGGCAGTTTCCGCACCGTCATGACCATCCTATTAGCTTGAACATAACTTGCATTTTATGCTGATTGAAGGAACGCTCCTTACGCTTTTTTCACAAGCTGCTCCAAAAGGTGTTTGTTCTTCCAAGGCCCACGTGACATGTTTGGCAACGTAAAGACCATCCCTGCATCGCTCCAGTTTGCCGACTCTCAGCTGATTCAGTTTAATAAAGCGAAACTGACGTGTTAACTTCATTTTTTGTTGTTCACTTATCTTGTAGATTAAATGCAAACCCATGTAGGGTGTTTGTTCAGTCCTACATGAACAATACAGTGGAGTGAAAGGTATTTGGTGACTAGAATTAATGCGTGCTGAATACACATAGTATCAGAAAGCTATGACATGAGAAAAAAAACTAAACGGTGACAAAATGCATCAAAAATAGCGATAACCGCAGTAATTATAATTGTTTAATAATGAAATCTAATGACCCTGAATAAAAAGCAAATTGAATCGTGAGGTACCTAAAATTGCACACCCCTAGATTATCAACTTACTGTGTATGACTCATCTTCACTTGTCATCTAGAATCTTCTGGCACTGACCCGTAACTGGCAACAGCCATAAAACTCACAGAACGGTAGTGAGGTAGTAACTTTAAAAATGGGCTGCAGTACTAAGTTTGACCACAGGATGCCATTCTTACTTCATTTTCACATATTGCACCTTGAAGGCATTACAATTGTGTCATTCACAATGATGCATTTTTTAAACGATCACTTGATGAATATTAGTTCTGACCTTTCCCAAGTCATTCTTTTATTGCTAACCGATGACCAGTCATCAGACTTTCTACTGTTTCGGTTTTTAATCTTGTAAGACTTGTAGCCTACCATATTGTCCTGCAGGTTTAGTTTCAGGAGTCATTCCAGCTGGCTGAGCTTCATACGGATATGCTCCATAACCTGTACAGGAAGGTTAGGATTGAGAAGTCAGTGAAAAACTGGATCAAACATAAATAAACCTGACACCCACCATATTTTCCAGGTATATTTCCATTACTGCCGAGGCCAAGAAGTTGCCCTCCGTAGGAGAACCCACCTGAGCTCAAATGGAGAGAGATTCATCACAAAGCCGGTTTCCCACTAAAAGTCTTTTTTAATCCCATATAAAAGACTAAACTGTTCGTTTTCATCTTTATAACTGACCGTTTTTTTCATTCAGAGCATCTCCTCCCATACTGGCACCAAGACCCCCTGTAAGCATGTCAAAAATGATCTAAAATAAGGTTTGATTTACAACATTGAAGATGATTTTGCAGGGTATAATGTATGTTTTTGTGACAGCTGGGGGTGAACATGCTCTCACCAGCTGCAGGCACATAAGGGTGAACTCCATAACCTGGAGAGATTTTGTTAAACACTGATATTTTGCATGCATCCAACACACAAAGTTATGCAACAGTAATGTACCATACTGTCCTCCACCATTCATGCCTACACTGATGGGTTGTCCGGCATACTGCAACCCACCGACACCTGCAGCAGCATAAAAGAGCGTAAAGTTGAACAAACCACAAAGGATACGAGGAGCTCGTATTATATCTAAAACTCACCGTATTTAATGTTTTCTGCACTCATCCCACCAAATGGTAGTCCTCCCATTACTGAAATATAATAAGAGTCTATTTATATTTAAAATGTTCATTCATTATACTTGACAGAATTTGACAAGTCACCCGTACCGCCATGTGGGCTTCCTGACTTGCCATTTGGATAAAGTCCAGCAGGATGAGGCTCAAATGGACTTGTTCCTACGTTAAAATCAAAGAAATGCCAACTTTTTTTGTTACCTTTATATTTTATTCAGTTAAACTCATCTATGACATTAGGCCATTTGAGTCTGTCAGTAAGACACTGTAAAAGCTCACTGCTCCTTCTCCTGGGAAATTTCTTTAGATAATAAAACAAACATGGCTTTACCGTCAAGTCCAGCTGGAACAACTGGGGCTCCATTGTATGGAAACTGTTTGGTGCCTTCTGTAAATTAACACCAACACAATTATTATTACTTAATTATACGTTTACATTCTGCATAAATATCTTTTTGTATGCAGCTCAGACCTGACTGCCCATCAGCAAGAGGAAGACTTTGACCAAGAGCTAAAAAAAGACAGAAATGTTTTTTTGCACTTCACAGAAAACTGAAACAGATCCATTAAAATTCTTACCTGCATAATCAGGTTGTCCACCCCTATTGAAGCCATTTACAGACCCTGCAAAATAAAATCATGACTACTTCAGCACTCTGAGATTAGAAAGGACAAACAACAACTTCCAGAAGCAACTTGAATACAGCAGCAATTAATTTTATTTAGATTGAATAAAAAAATATTAGAAAATGTGTGAAATACCTGATTTTGATTTGGCGCCTTTTCCCATGTTTCCTTAATGAAAATATAATTTTTGGGAGAATTATAAGGCAGGTAGATATAAATTTCAACTCATTTCAGTAAAGCACATTATTCCTAAATAAACTAAATGAAAATAAATATTTGATTTGAAACCCACCATTTAAATATCCATTTCCAGCTCCGAGATAAGCTCCAAATCCTGAGCACAAACACAGACGTTAACTAATGTTAAGCTTAGTTTTTCTCCTGGAGAAAAATTGCTCCTTACCAGGTTGCATAAATTTTCCACCATAAGGATATCCAAGCCCTGTGTGGAAAAATCCACTCAGAAACAGGTAGCACATAGATTTCCATGAAAATTAGAGTTCTCCTCTCTGACAGAAAGTTTACCTGCTCCAAATCCATTGAAGAGTCCAGGGAATGTTTGGTAACCTTAAAACAAACAAATCATTTAGCGATAAATTCAATGGAAATGCTGAGTGTGTGTGTGTGTATTTATATTTACCTGGTTTATTTGCTTTAGCTCCACCTCCATTTAAGTGTGCTCCTGCATGGCCCCCATTGCCTAAAACATTTACAACGTAAAAATAACACATCAAAGGTGTGGGCACTTGTTTTATGACCTAAAACAACAAAGACTATCAGTTTAAAGCTTTGTCCATTTCTGATAAAACACAAATTACTCTGTTACTTGACGCAGGAACGGATCTACTGGAGTGGCAACCACCATCCTAAATGAAAGCCTTGCTACCCCTGCTGCCACCCAAGCTGAAACATCGGAGGCAAATCAAACATTACAAACGTGAACGTTGCATGTCTGTTTTCACCTCATTACGATTTAAGCTGATAAAGGGACGACCCTAAGCATAAGAAATTCATGCATCACATTTTACTGACTTTCTATTATTCTTTTATAGAGAGTGTTATCACATTTTCCATCCCCTGTTGGTTTTATTCTGTCAGCCTGCAGTATAGAAGCCGTCTACAAAGCACCGTCAAGGTGTGCTCTCGGATCATTGGACTACCACTGCGAAGCTTAACTTCTCAATGTGACCAGCATACAGGAAGTTTAGCACAGAAAATCATTAAAGACCCATCACACCCTCTTCATACTGTTTTCGAGTGGCTGCCCTCCAAACGCCGACTTTGATGCCCATGCTGTAAAACACAGAGGAGGAGAAGTTCCTTTGTTCCCAGAGCTGTGCTTCTTCTTAATTCTCAGTGCAGATAGGGGGAGTGTGCATTACTTATATGTGTGCGTGCATGTAGTTACATGTGTGTATGTGTGTGTGTGTGTGTGTGTGTGTGTGTGTGTGTGTGTGTGTGTGTGTGTGTGTGTGTGTGTGTGAGTGAGCCAAAGTTTTAATCATTGTTGGTCATTCACATGTGAGTTTATGACATGATTGTGTATATAGGTTTTTATGGGTTTTACAAATGTGTAATTTGGATGTGTTTTTAGAATTTAGAGATTTTAGTGCCGGCTGCTTCACAATGCTGTCTCGAATTGCCCCTCGGGGACTAATAAAGTTGTCTTGAGTCTTGAGTCTTGAGTCACTATGTAAATGCTGAATTAACGGTGAAAACATGTTTCTGAATGAACAGCAAAATTAACGCTCTTAATCTATGGTTTACTTTAGTCGAAATGCTTGTTCTGCTTATAGTATTTTAGTCACAAAATTAGAATATTATGACAAAGTTGATTTATTTCAGTAATTCCATTCAAAAGGTGAAACTTGTATATTAGATTCAATTTAATGACGGTGCGGCACAAACTGCAGCCAGTCACAGCAGCTCTCGCTTTTTTGTTGCCCTTTTTTTTCTCAACATTTATTCTAGACTTTTAGAAAAGTTTAATTCACAAAATCTATGGAGATTTAAATGTTTGTTTTGAATACATTTGCTGTTCTGATTATTAATTTACTCTAATTTTATATTATTGGTTTATACATTTATGACCGGAAAAGGGTGGCTTGCCAACTCCGGGTCGGGGGAGAGGTCCTACCTCAAGTGGAGGAGTTTAAGTATCTCGAGGTCTTGTTCACGAGTGAGGGTAGGAGGGATCAGGAGATCGACAGGCGGATTGGTTCAGCGTCTGCAGTGATGCGGACACTGAGCCGATCTGTCGTGGTGAAGAGGGAGCTGAGCCAGAAAGCTAGGCTCTCGATTTACCGGTCGATCTACGTCCCAATCCTCACCTATGGTCATGAGCTTTGGGTAATGACCGAAAGAACGAGATAACGGATACAAGCGGCCGAAATGAGTTTCCTCCGTAGGGTGGCCGGGCTCAGCCTTAGAGATAGGGTGAGGAGCTCGGACATTTGGGAGGGACTCAGAGTAGAACCGCTGCTCCTCCGGATTGAGAGGAGTCAGTTGAGGTGGTTTGGGTATCTGGTCAGGATGCCTCCTGGACGCCTCCCTGGGGAGGTGTTTTGGGCATGTCCTGCCAGCAGGAGGCCCCCGGGTCGACCCAGGACACGTTGGAGAGGTTACATCTCCAATCTGGTCCGGGAACGTCTTGGGGTCCTGCCGGAGGAGCTGGTGGAGAAGGCCGGAGAGAGGACGGTCTGGAGCTCCCTAGTTGGGATGCTGCCCCCGCAACCCGAACCCGGATAAGCGGAGGAAGAGGATGACGACATTTATGTCTTAATAAAAGAGTGGTTTTATGGTTTGTGTGAACAGTAATGTAATTTCTCTGAGAGCACTGGTCTTCCCTTGGGTGGCCAGTGGAGTGGCTGGCAATTTTCCTAGGGGTGTCCAATGTCCACCCCTTGGAGCCCCACTGTGTGTGAATGTTGCCAACAGAGAATCATAATCTATGCCACATTGTGCCACTCATAAAACATTTTTGCCCTTGTCTGCTACTCCATACATTTTTCTAGGTTTGCCACCGCTCAACAGATGAAGACAAAATCACCAATAATGTGTAAGTAAACCAGAGCAATTCATGCCCATCCATTGTCCATCTGGCCAACAATCTGTAACACCAATGCATGAATATAACTAACATACTTTTTCTCTCTGTCTCTCTCTCTCACACACACACACACACACACACACACACACACACACACACACACACACACACACACACACACACACACACACACACACACACACACACACACACACACACACACACACACACACACACACACACACACACACACACACACACACACACACACCTATTAAGACAGCATGACTAAAAACCATTTCCCCTCCACTTTGGATTCTTTAAATATTTTTAGCAACAACAAATAATGTGAATAAACCAAAGTATAAATGTAAGATATTAGGAGGTGTCAGCGCTGAGAATCTTAGCTTTAATTAGACTGAATGTTAGAAAAAACAGCTAAATATTTACTTAATATGCAGTAATATGAATAAACATTTACCAGGTTTGGCTGATTTCACTCCTTGCTTCTTGGAGACTGATACTTTTGCGGTTTCTGAAAACAAAAGACAGAAAATTTCAAGATTTGTGGAAATTAATTAAATAATTCACTCATTTTCCTTTTTCAGAGCCTTCTTTGCTCCCAAACTCATGCACTAAAACACAGTTCAGTCAGGAAAAAAACATTTTATTCTGGGAGGATATTATGAATCAGATTATTTTAAAAAGATGCATTTATTATTTTGCAAGAGATGGTAAGGCCATAGACGACAAATTATTGAACAGCAAACGTTGAAGGAGAATTATCTGACACACCCCTGAGGGGAACATGCAGCAAACAGGTCTGTGAGAACTACAACGCTGTAGAAGAACCAAAATCAACTGTTGCTCAGGTCGTCATGCCCGGATGCTCTGAGAACTAAACTACCACAGACAGGTTAGAGTCAAGCTGTGCTGCTTTAAAATATGTTTCATTCACTATAATAAAACAGGCAGACACATGCAGATCCAGTTCACATCCAGTCTAGATTTAATGTACCAGTTTCCCCAGCAGGGCGACCCTCGACGCCAAGGCTATGGGGGCCTGACATTTTGGTGTTTTGGTCCTCTGCTGCTGCCTCGGACTCAATCAGACTCAGAGTTTCTCCAGGAGAGACGTTTTCTGTACTTTTAGCTGCTGCTGGTTCAGAACCAGCTTTGGTTTTTGTGGGTTTGGAGCTGTCCAGGTCAGAAGTACTGTCAACCCCAAAATCAACATCTGCTACTGCGGCGTTTCGTTCAGGAAAAGCACCTCCAGTCACAAAACCTACAGGCCACACGGTTCATTAGCAGTTCCTCTAAACCTTTTCCATAAATGAGGTCACTAATTATTGTATTAAATGTTTTTCTTTAGTAACACAAAATTAAAATGATGTAAACAATTCCTGCATGGATGTCTCTATTTAGTGTCTGAAAACAAACACAAATGTAAACAAATGATCACTTTTAAGTTTTTTTCCATAAGGTGAATTATACGGTGAAGACTCCGTTGGGTCTGGGTTGAGGCTACTTGCCTTGAGAAAGGACTGCAGCTGGTTCTGCTACAGGATTCTGCAGAGCCACTGGTCCAGTTTGAGCATTTGGGTTTCTTGGATCAGGAAGTGCTGGAGCCAGTCCCGGTGTCGGCTCAGGGATCATACCTATTGCTTTATAGCTTTTTCCTTGTGGCAAAAACTGTTTTTGGTATTTCTCGTTTTTCACCAAGCCAAGCAGGCTGCTAGTTGGCACCGGCGCAACCAGAACTTCTCCCTGAGTCAGATGAGCAATATCCTGACTGGGTGATGCAACCTGCTGCCGAGAGGGGAAAACGCCCCCTTTAAGGCTCTTCCCGTTGGACAAATCCACACCTCTCACAGCCTGACCTTTTCCATTCCCCGTCCCATAACCTGGAAGCCAAACACAGGCAGCACATTTTAAAGTACACAGTAAATCAGAATTCTTTATTAATCCCGAAGGAAACTATACAGAACCCCAACCCTAACCCAGACAATCGGATAAAGATAGGAAATATTACACACAGTCACAACAACAATAAATAATCAGATAAAAACAGTTAAAACAGTCCCCAACCCATTACCAATACAAAAATTACAATACAAACCTTAATCTAAAAAATATCCTACTCCCTATCCTGGAACAGTGGAATTGAACAAGCAAATTGTAGCAGGCAGAAATTATTTTCGGTATTGTTCAGTGGAGCAACTGGCAGTTCAGTCTCCTACTAAACATGCTCCTGCAATTGGCCAGCTCATCATGAAGTGGGTGAGAATTATTGTTCACGATGGCCCCGATCTTGTCACCACCTCAGCGAGTCCAGCTCCATTCCAACCACACTGCCAGCCTTCCGTATCAGCTTGTTGAGTTTGTTCTCATCTGCCACCTTTAACTTGCTGACCCAGCATGCAGCAGCGTAAAGGATGACACTGGCTACCACAGACAAACGCCTTCCCAACAGCTGCTTTGGTCAAGTATATATTCCTGTAAGCTTTTTTAAAATGTGGTGCAGCTCATGCTTCCAAGTGATAAAATAATAATTATGATTTATATTATAATAATTATTATAAAAGGTTCACCATTTACTAAATTTTGATTAAGTTTGTGTACCTTCACTCTGGGACAGAGTTCCAACTCCTTTTGTTAGAGGTTTCGAGGCGCTGCTCAGTCCATATCCTGATGAAATTGTTTTCAAATGTCACCAAAAAATACAACCAAACTGTTTCAGTGGATGAATCACCTTCTGGATGGAAGTTGTTTAATACAGACCCTTAGAATTTCCTCCAGAGCCTCCCAGGGCTGCTCCAGTACCCGCTCCATGACCTGTTGAGAAATGTACAAAAAATTTTTTTACTTTTCTTTTATCAAAACTTATAAAACTGCTACTGCTACTACTGCTACTACTACTACTACTACTGCTACTGTTACTACTACTACTGCTACTTCTACTGCTACTACTACTACTACTGCTACTGCTACTACAGCTACTTCTACTGCTATTACTACTACTACTATTACTACTACTACTGCTACTGCTACTGCTACTACTACTGCTATTACTACTATCCACTACTACTGCTACTGTTACTACTACTACTGCTACTTCTACTGCTACTACTACTACTACTGCTACTGCTACTACAGCTACTTCTACTGCTATTACTACTACTACTATTACTACTACTACTGCTACTGCTACTGCTACTACTACTGCTATTACTACTATCCACTACTACTGCTACAACAACTACGTCTACTGCTACTATTACTACTACTACTATTACCACCCACTACTACTACCACTACCTCTACTACTACTGTTACTACTACTAATATTACTACCCACTACTACTGCTACCATTATCTCTACTGCTACTATTACTCCCCACTACCACCACTACCTCTACTACTACCACTATTACAATCTCTACTACTATCACTCCACTACCCACTACCACTACCACTACTATTACTGCTACTACTTTCATTATTGCTTATTTTTATTTAATAGTTCGTTTTTTAGTCACAGTGATATCAAATTGCAACAAATAAGTAAATACATTGTTTTACGTGTTAGAAGACATATATGTGTTTATCTGTAAGGATTAAAATTGGTCAAGCAAAACTTGACCTGAGCAACAACAAATGATCATCTGCATAAATACAAGCAGGAATAAACAAACCCAAAGAAAAGACAACTTTATGCTTCTACAGGTTTTAAGATGCTGCTAGGTAAATTAAACATCTCCATCTAATCAATGTTCTATGTTCTTTTCCATTTGTAATCCATCCACACAATACAGAGAAGGCCATATATAAAGTACACATGAAACATAGTACTTAGATTAGCTTGTCTATTATTTGCCATTATTTCCTTATAACACATCTGATCACTGCAATTGTTGGAGTTCATTAATTTAATTTCATTTTACAATTATTTCTATCACATTTCCAAAAGATTTGAAGATATTTTTGTGGGGGAGTTTTCTTTTTTCAGATGTTTACAGTAAAAATATGTTTTTATTTGCTATGTATGACGACACATTTGCTATTATTGTTTACACAAAGAGTATTTTAGAGGGAGTTACCGTTGGCCTGGGCGCCATATCCTTTCATAACTCCAGCAGCAGCAGCTCCATAACCTTTAGATCAAATATATGTTTTATAAGAACAAATAAGAAACAGTTACCTTTGGGTTTGGATCCAAACCTGCTAGGGTCAGCTCCACTTAAATGACCTTGTGATTAAATTCATCATTACAGTGAGCTCCTTACTGCTCAATAACACTCAGACTTGTATATTACCTAGCTGGGGTCTCAGGGTGCTGCCTCCATGTCCTGAAACACACCAGGAAGTTATGTTGAACTGTTTAAACTCATGCAAAGAAGGAAAGAAACATTGCCTTACCATTCGGTTTGACACCATGACCACTTTTAGCAAATCCTGCTGGAACAAGCACCCGGGGTTTAAAAACTTTTCTAACAGCAACGAACAAAAATAATAATAACGGACGAAGCAAAACTTTGTTTGTGGATCTAAGAGCTGTAAAAGTTACCAGGTTTGGCAGCTGCAGCACTTGGATTCCCATGACCTAAACAGTTTCACAAGCAGCAGGAATTACAATCAATCTTACACTCTAGAGCGAATAGAAATAGGACAAATCAGAACTAACCGTTTTGCACGACTCCGTATCCATTTGGTGCTCGGGCTCCAGCAGAACCTTGCACAATACAAACATTTTAAATCTCATCATTTTAATGCGTCATTCGTCTGGTTTGTGAATCTGCCCACATGGTCTTCCTGTGAGCCTGGCAGTCGGGATGATCGTACCTGGAACTGGCCCCTTTAATCCCATGTTTCCATAACGGGGTCCCAGTCCCAAACCAGCAGCTCCATAACCTCCTCTGGAGCCTGAAAACACATCTCATCATGTAAACACACACACACACATTTTATTCTCCCTAGAAGTGTTGATTCCTCCTGGTAAACTCACCTCCCATATTCTGAGCTCTGTAACCATTATAACCATTACCTCCATAAGCTGGAAAACACATCCATACTGTTAATTGTGTCATAAGGAGTCCAGTACTGAGGCGGGACATCCACTCACCCTTCTCTTGATGTCTGGCAGACTGGGGTGCTGCTACACCTCTGAAGGGTCCAATCACCATCCCTGGGTGTAACAGAGGCACAGGTCTGTAGGTTAACACAGTCAAAGTCCTAGTCTGTTTTTCTGGATGAGGAAGCCGAAGATACCTGCTCCAGGAAGAGGTCGGCCGTACCCCTTCATGGGTTTGCTCCCATCTTCTCCCTGACCTGATAAATAAGGATCCAAGTTCAAGGTAAACCAAAGATAAATTCAACAGAATTTAAATTTTAGGTGTTATATTTTCCTACCATTTAATTGTCCTCCAATGCTACTAGATGGGCCAGCTACCACTCCTTGATGTAAAAGAAATTTTTGATTTTTATTATTAGACAGTTAGATTAAGATTAGCATTCTATCGGTTACACCAGCATCAGTCTTTTTTCCAAATTGATTTCAGATTTATTAGAGTAAGCAAATATTACCCATCATAAATGTACCTTTTGTTGCAAATCCATTTTGTGCACCAGCTGCAGCAGCATTACCTACAAACAGGTAACAAAACCTTTTCTTACTGATCACCTACATGGGTTTCAAACTGGGTTTACACATGCAGCAGATACAACCAAGCAATGCCAACAGACTTAAACATGTCTAATATCCCCAAAACACAACATATAGTTTATGCAATTGAAAAAAAAACTAAAGAATAAACTTTTTATATATATACTAAAGAAAAACATTTAATACAATAATTAGTGACCTCATTTATGGATGGGTTTTATGGAAAAGGTTTAGAGGAACTGATATATATATATATATATATATATATATATATATATATATATATATATATATATATATATATATATATATGTCACAATCTGCTCCTGCCTCCCTGACTGTGTCTCTCCCCTGCCCTTTATTAGTCCCTATTGGTTTCACCTGTCCCTTGTTTACCTGCCCAGGTGTTCCTGATTTTCCCCTGTGTATTTATACCTCCTTTCTTGTATCAGGCCCTGTCCACACGTAGCTGGGGATCTGCCAAAACATAGATATTTTTCTACGTTTCGGCCTGTCATCCACATGAAAACAGAGTTTTTTAAAAACTCCGGCCAAAGTGAAGATCTGCGTTTTCTCCATTTTGGGTGTCTGCGTGTGGACAGACAAAACCGGAGTTTTAAGGTCCGCAACGTCACTTTCCGCGACAAAAAATGCTGACATCACGTGTGCGACCTGTGTTTACACTAGCCGACAGCATGGATGCCCTCAGAGTTGCGCTTGCTTTATCAATTGTCCAAGCGCTTTTTGCTTGTTTGTTTTTGCAAGCGGAATTACTGCTCCTTGTGGAAGACCACAGACGAAGGACGAGGTTAAGAACGGGGGAAGTACTGCCGCCTACAGGTCTGGCATGTCCTTAACAACGTATTTATCCGGGTACGTGTGGACAGAGTTTTCTTTTAAAATGAGGTGGTGTGGATGCAAGTTTTTGGAGGGGCGGATATTCGTTTAAAAAAAAACGGCTACGTGTGGACTAGGCCTCAGTCTTTATATAAGACTGCAGCGCCAGGCTGGCTTCAGGACAGATATATATATATATATATATATATATATATATATATATAATCTAAAAAGTGTCAGAAGATTCTAGATGACAAGCAAAGATGACTCATTCACAGTAAGTTGATGAGTAGATAAATATGTTTATGTTTATGTATTTATCAGACACTTTTGTCCAAAGTGACTTACAAGTGATAATCGGCATGTTGCCCTTGAGGCTAACAACAACAATAGCAACAACAACTTGACATCAGTCATGGAGAGGAGGGAACAAGGAGTGGACAGTAGAGAGGGGGGACAGGTGCAGGGAAGGTGCTAGTTAAGAAGATGCTCTCTGAAGAGCAGAGTCTTCAGGAGTTTCTTGAAAATTGAAAAGGAAGCCCCTGTTCTGGTAGTGCTTGGTAGGTCATTCCACATTGTCACTGGGCAGCAGTTGGTCAGGATGTAGAGCAGGTTGTCCAGTAATCGGAAGGCTGTAGGTTCAATCACAGCTCCCATCAAAGAATGCTGTTGTTGTGTTCATGAGCACAACCCACCTTGCCTGCTGGTGGTGGTTGGAGGGACCAATGGCGCCAGTGTTTGGCAGTCTTGTCAGAATGCTCCACAGCAACTGTGGCTACATTGTAGCTCATCATCACCAGCGTGTGAATGTGTGTGGATGACTGATTGTGTTACAAAGCGCCTTGGAGGGTAACCCTAACAACTTCACTGTAATACTGAATTGTCATTGAAGAAGTAGCTTTGAGACATTTTAGAGACAACTATTTGCTTCCAATTCACCTTTAGCTCTGTTAGCTCATCGTTAGCCTCTAGTTTGCTTCATATTAGTGCAGGTGTACAAGGAATAACTTCTGGGTTGCTCCGGTGTGCTGGCTTTGGGTCTTTGAACAACTCTGAATTACAAATGCCGGCGCTACAGCACTAGCTTGGTGCAGACTCTGCAACTTCACAAACTCACTGATAGTTACCCGACTACATCCCTCCTTCGAAAGGAAATAAACTGACAACTTTTTTTGTAGCTATTTCACAGCAGAATTTGAACGTATTGCTCCTTTAAACTTAACCCTAAAATGGAGTTATTTCCCCATCCCATAACGTACCATAGCCTTTAGTTCTCTGTCCTCCATATCCACCCAGCTGAGCTCCGTAACCTGTAACAAGAACAAAACTTCAATCCCAAAAATCATCTCTAATGTGTGATGGTCTGCTAAGGTGTCTCACCACCTCTCATGTGCTGCCCATTTGTTGGCCCAGCTATGACTCCGTACCCTGAGAAAACAACAGCAGCAATAACCAAAAACAAGTAGATGTCAGTGAGTAAATGATCAGCCGTTAGCTGTTATTATAAAGCTGGAGGACGGTTTCAACCATGAATATTTCACCACTAGCAATTTTTAAAATAAAGTTTACTTTGAAATGAGCAACTATGAGTTATACTTTTATGTAATGAATCCACCTTGTTCTGCCATGCCTGCCATGTTTGTTATTTTCCTTTCTGCCAGTCCTCCTGTTACTAATCAGCTTCACACAGTTCACCTGAGCCCTGCCTGATTGTCTCCCTGCTGCACCTGTGCACTCCTCTTTTTAAGCAAAGCTCAGGCTCTGTCTCCCTGCCAGATGATCGACAGCCTTGTGCCAGTAGAGACTCCAGCAAAATGTTTCAGCCAAGCCCTTTCCTGATTTTTTTTAATTTTTATGTTCATTTATTTACTTTGTTTCTGTCCACGGAGTCTGCCTGCCTTGCTCCACAGATTCTCTCGCCCATCTGTCATCTGGACACGGGCCTTGGCTCTGAACTTCGATTGCAGATTCCTGCTCTATCCCTGATAAGTATTACTGACATCTGCCTACCTGTGTATGACCCGTATGTATGTCGATGGTATGACCTTGCCTGTACCTCACCTAGACATTGGATTTTGGATTCATTAACTTCTGCTGGGCTGTACGAATTGTCTGTCATTCTAAGAGGAGTTGAAATCCAGATGGTAGAGGAGTTCCCATAGCTGGCACAAGGGCAGTCCGCCCTCTTCTCCTTGCCATCACAGCACATGCTGCTCTGTCTCCAGTTATCCTAACGTTGAACTTTCTCCCTTATTCCCCCACATTCCAAAATAAACATTAGACTGCTGTATTTTGGCAGAATTTCTGAGCCTTGAGGTTATATACATTACATTTTAGACAAATTTTAATGTCTTATGGTTTATCATTTTGTGTGTGTATGTGACTAAATAAACCTTAACTACCATTGCCTTTAGTCCTCTGTCCAACAAATCCACCGCTATGAGCTCCATAACCTGCAACAAGAACAAAATTGAAATTACATTAGCCATTGTCTCTATTTACACACATCTACGCTTCAGCAAACACTTTGTGTATAAATAGGAACTCTATTTTATTCTAAATCCAGTGGTACTCACTCCTGGTCCTTGAGAGCTGGTATCCAGCATATTTTAAACTCTTCACACCTGATAATCAGCAGGTGATTAACAGGCTTCTGTGGCACAGGTAACTGAACTAGGTGTGTTGGAGTGGAGTAACAAGAAAAAGATGCTTTATACCAGCTCTCTGGGACCAGGAGTGGGTCTCATTGATCTAAATCTAAATGTTCTGGGGCTGATTTGGTGCATCACATCTAAAATACCGTTGCCTTTAATTCTCTGTCCACCAAATCCACCAGCCTGAGCTCCGTAACCTGCACCAAAAACAGAGACTCAATTAAACAGCAGAAGAACAGTCTGGAGCCATAGGAGTAGAGCTTTTTACATTGAGTTTCCTTTATACTGAGCTCCATTCATGCTGGGTATGACAACAGAATTGGATTCTCCTTTATTAATGCAAACTGGGATGATAAGTTGGTGCAAATGTCTCGACATTACTTCACTGTAAACTTGGATGCAGTTCTGTTTAATTTTTCACGAGTATCTATGATCAATTTGACATTTGTTAAAACCCAGCATAAACAATGTAACTGTGTTGTCATAGGACTGGTGTTTTTACCGTTGCCTTTAGTTCCAAGTCCATATTGTACAGCAGCAGCTGCAACATTATTACCTAACAACAAAAAACAATTCAAAGGTTTTTGAAAGGATCACAACTCTCTTTAGCTCCAATATTCCCTGATTGGACAGAGTCCCATCTAAACTACCGTTGCCTTTAGTTCTTTGCCCAGCATATCCAGCAGCCTGGGCTCCATAACCTACAACAGCAACAAGACTTTCAATTAAACACTTTGTCCTTTAGACATTAGTCATGTTTTAGAGCATCAATCATGCCACCTTTTACTTGCTGTCCGTTAGTCGGCCCAGATATGACTCCGTATCCTGCAAGAGAAAGGACTAAATCATTTCAACCTTTATTAATAATAATAATTATCACTTTAATTCAAAGACCCTAGGTAAAGTAGCAGTGAAAGGTTTCAATCAGATTTTTATGTTTTTGAATAAACTTTTCACAATATCACATGTTTTTGTAAAATGGCTAAAAATACACAACAGCAGATGTTTCCAACATCCTGTTAATTATTCTAGACCTAAGGATTTTCCCCCCAGGTGAACACATTTTTACTGACTTAAAGAAGAGAATCAGATGCATGGAAACAACGTTAAACAGTAACTGTGCCTTGTGCAACAGCTACTAAACATGATCATGTCATAGTTCCTTTGAGTGGTTTTGAGAGTGGTGACATAAAGTGACTGTTATGTTTTATGAACAAAGTCATTACTGGTTTCTGCAGACGAGTTGTAAGTTAATACACACAGTTTGTCAAACTCCTCCCTAAATGGGAAATGGAACAAAATCACATCTAACCGTTGCCTTTTGTCCTCTGTCCACCGTACCCACCAGCCTGAGCTCCATAACCTGCAGCCAGATCAAACCTTAACATTAAAACATGATCCTCAGTGTGTGGATTTAATAAGTCGTCTGTTGGACCACCGTTCATCTGCTGTCCGTTTGTGGGACCGGCTTTAACGCCATATCCTGAAAAAGAAAATCATTGTGAACAAAAATTCTAATTTCTTTTCCTGGAGATGAAGGCTAACAGTCACCGTTAGATGTGGCTCTGTTTCCGTTTGGAAAAACAGGATAATTTCCTCCTGGATTTCAAACACATAGAAAACAGAAAATAGATTTATTATAAATGCATTACAGTAAAAACCTCTGAGTAGAGGCGCTATGTATTTATTATTTCTAATAAACTGATTGAGGTTCCAGGCGTTGATGATGTCATTGAAGTGTAAATTTTCCTGAAACAAGTTTTTGCTGATTTCTGCTGGTCAAACCTCATCACTCAGCCAAACGCGCCATGTGAGTGACACAAAAACACAATTTATAACATTTTGGTGACAGATTTCTTCAGATTAAAACACGATAGTGTTTTTTCAGTCAGAGCTTCCAGACTGAACCATAACAAGATGAATTTACCTTTTACTCCCACTCCTTTGCTCACTCCAGCAGCTCCTGCTGCATAACCTTCAAAATATGCAAAGTCTGATTGGCATACCAATGAATACAAACATATATTCAGGACTTTGGAAGGAGTCATTTCAACTCACCTATTCCTTTTGTTGGATACCCTGCGTATCCATTATGTGGTCCCAATGTCTGACCCACTCCTTATTTAAAAGAAGGCTCAGATTTTAGATTTGTGTAAAAGACAAGGTCAGTTTGTGAAAGCAGCCATTACTGTACCTATGGATGGCATCAGCAGTGCTCCTACACCTCCACCAGTCTGGGGTCTGATTCCTAACAAACAAAAAGACCTCCTGTTGACCAAAGAGCAGATGGATTACAGCTGAGAGTGTAAAGGACTCACCATCGGGGTGTGGTCCTGGTCCACTGGAGGCTCCGTATGCTGCACTGTAACCTTTAACACAACACAAATAAATAAAAATGAGGCTCAGCAAAACGTCCTCTAATGCAATCCGTTCACTCTGTACAATACTGATTGGAAAAAATGAGTATTATTAGATAAACGCAGCATAAAAGAATGCACCATATTAACCCTTTGATGCATAATGGTCACTACAGTGGACAGGTACTCAAAATGGTTATTTATTTGTTTTTGCTATGAAGCACAGCTGTTGAAGACTTTATTGCATTTGAGCCCCTCCATTTGGACTTCAGTAAGCCAAGCCAACAAGTTTCAAGATCAGAATGCACGCTGTCCACTGAGGTGGACATGTAATAAATTATTTGTAAATTATAAAATTTTACAAAAAATATTTGTTGAAATTTGTTTCATTCACACCTAAAGATGAAAGAAAAAAAATGTTAAAAAATCATAGTTGAAGATTTCATAATTCATGCATCAGAGGGTTAAAATGATTTTTTGTGTTCCTCAAAAATGATCATTTAGTTAAATCAGTGATGTAAAAAAACATTTACATCTATGGTTTTTAAAAGTTATGAAGTACAATTATGCGGGTTAATCAGCACATTCTTAATCTTTTACATCAGCCTTTTTCTTTCCTATTTATGCAACAAAAAACATTACAAATAGTAATGAAGTACAACATCCATGTACTCAACTGACTCCAAAACTCATCAGGACTCATCAAAGAGATCCTTCACTCACAATACATTTGCAGTGGTTTCTAGTAGGAATGAATGTCTTGTAAGTTGTACTCTGGGGGAAAAAAACTCTGGTGCGCCTGTTTCAGCACGGAGAATTCAGCCAAAGAAGAAAGTAGCTTCAGATGGCAGGATTTGGACTCTTATTTCCTGATATTCAGGCATCTTGCCTCAGATTGGCTAACAGCAACATGACTCCACCACTGACTGTTTTCTTTGCAGCATTGTTGTTTTATCTCCAGAAATAACACAAGCCTGGAGGAGTTCTGCTGTGTGGTGGAGTTGCTAATGCTAACGGTTGGCTTCTACTATCTGGGACGTTCTCTGCCGTTTCCCCGATGCTAAATCAACAACAGCCTTCAACGTTGCGAGTCGAGATGGATGAGTCCATGAATGTTAAGTGACAGTGTGACATAGACCTGTCAGGCTTTTCTAATCCTAGAGTTTCACCGTCTATTATATCAGAAGTTAATTCAGGTGTAGGAGACTGTTTCCATGTTCATCTTGCATGAAAACAGAGTGACTGAATATAATCAGTAATAATATGTAATAAAATAGTTCCTCAGTGAAGAATCTCTTTAAGCTGCTTGTAATTTTTTTGTTATTTCTGAGGGGTTGCTCTGGGGTAAGTGTATTTGAATTTTTGTTTTAGATGCAAAAACAAACAAACAAACAAAAAATAATGGTAGCCTAATGAATTTTCAGGTTATTATATTTTGATTGATGGATAACATTTTATTAATTCAACCGGAAATACTTCTGAGCGACTTCTGATAATGCCCTGTGGAAAGGGTCAATATTTTGTTAAACGAGGTTCTTTTTGTTTCAGACATGAAGGTGTTTTGAGTTACCTTGACATGTTTCGACCGTTGTCTGCGGTCTTCCTCAGAAATGTCACAGATGTTTGTGTGACGCGTGTGGCAGTGTGAGCGTCCTGTCACAGTATCTCGATTGCTGATGCGCCCTGGCTGACCCTTTGGCTGACTGGTAAACGCGCGTGACTCTCACCCGGGAGTCTGGGGATCGAATCCCGCCCAGGCCCCCATCTCTCCACCTTGCTACATGAGTCTTTATCAGCTTTTCTTCTGGTGGGCGCGACCAACCCGGATCTGTCAGATCCACTGGGTCGGCCACGCCCACCTCCGCCGGCCGGTCCCTGGAGAAGGGAGTCCCAGGTGCGAGACAGCTGAAAGGCCCCCTCTCTGTTCATTTTCCAATGCTCATGTTTCCTTATTTCTACTACCTCCCTGACCCAACGCTTGAACCGGTTGTTCTCCGTGCTGATAATTTTTCCTTGATCCCATGAACATGAACAGAGACGAGGGGGCCTACCAGCTGTCGCAGTGTATCCACTTCCGTGTTTAATTAATGCAACAAGTGAAAATAACAGTCCACATATCATCCCAAAATGTCCAGGAAGAAAGAGACTGATGCAGAAGGAAGGTGTTTCAACAAAGCTGGAACATGATAATGCTTCAAGAAGAAAAACTGGTATCTTTACAGTCATTAACGTCCATGCTACTAGCATCAGAAGCAGGGACCTGAAAAGGCTCAACAGCCTAATAAAAAAGGCTGGTTCTGTTCTGGGTACGACTGTGGAATCACTGGAGGAGATAATGCAAAGAATAATTCTCCAGAGAATCAAGAAAATTATGGACAACCCTGAGTATTCTCTTCACAAGACTGTCCGACAACGGAAGAGTGTCTTCAGTCAGAGGCTTCTTCAGTTTGGCTGCAACACTGACCGCTACTGGAGATCCTTCCTGCCAACAGCCATTGTAATATACAACAACTCTTTGACGACTTTATTATTATTATTTGGAGCTACTACAGCAATCAATTTCCCTCTGGTATTAATAAAGTATTTTTGAATTGAATTGAATTGAATCAGCGTCTACAGTGTCACCTCCTCTGCCTCGGACAAACTGAAAACACTCCTCTTACTCAGCGCCAAGTTTACTCAGAAAATAGCCGACTTTGAAGTCCAGAAATGGATTTTAACAGCTCAGTAATGTTTGCTGCTGACATAGAAAGCGCACCGATCAAAATCCAGACCGAGATGATTTAACTCCAGTTTAGCGACACGCTCAAGTCACTATGACTCTGTGGCTGCTGCTGCTTTTATTCCCTTCCCCAACACAACTGCGTAGTCCAGATGCTCTCCATGTCCAGCAGCACAAACCCGTGTGAGCAACTGTTTCTCACTGATGAACTCCTTCCTCAGCTCAGAGCCCAAACCCACAGATGCAGGTCTGGCTGGGACAGGTGAGCATCACAGGAAATCAGAGTGGAGAAAACTGGGATTGAATTATTTTGGTTTTATTAACTTTTTCCACTCCAAAGCATGAAAGTTAATAGGTGAGATATTGCATTTTCATTAAATAGAATTACAATTTTTTATTTTTGTTGTTGGCCTGTGAAAATAAATAAGCCCACTTTAAAACAGGAAAGATTACAGATAGAAGAATAGAACAGAAATAAAATAGAAAATCCCTTAATTTCCCTCAGTGGGGAAAGCTTGGTGTCACAGCAGCAATAATATTCATTACAGGAGCAACAAAGGAGAGTAAAAAATATAGAATAAACAAGAAAATATAAAATAGAAACACTTAAAAGATTCAAAAGATAAAATATAAGAAGAAATGCTGAATATATACAGATTTTAAGGATTAAAATATCTTTTAAAAATTTAGACATAAGTAACGAATACCACTGATGTGTGCTTTATTTCAAATTGACTTGCTCGTGAGTAATTTGGTTATTCCACATTCAGTGTTACTGCAAAAATAAGTTGGTTTCCAAATGAGAAGGTGCAACCATTCATATCTGTAGATAAAGGAAAATGTGAACATTTACCGTCACTTTTAAAAAAAATATTGAGATTGGCCCGCGACATCAACCCAGTTTTTCATTTTGGCCCAGTATGAATTTGAGTTCGACACCCCTGTTGTAAATGCTACTCATTTTTTTATATATATATATATATATATAACTTTGATGGAGACTGATGACGGAGATGAACCTTGGAGATACTGACTCGCGCTCCCCAAAGTATTTTTGAATTAGCAGCGAACACATGTAAGTGGGTAAGGCTGATGTTCATTTATTTCATGATGTAGACAGGGACTGACTTTTATTGACCTGAAATGTTAATGTGATCTGTTTATTTTACTTACTTAGTCATGATATTCCTAGATTTCACCATGGAGGACATGCGGTACGGTCCACTGTTGTGAAATTCAAGCTAATTATTTACAATGACACTATTCTTATGTAGGATTACACAAGTTAAAATTGTTCATTACTTAGTATGGCCCCTCCCTGGGCAGCCACTTTATTGTGGTGGAGGGATTTGAGTGTCCCAGTTATCCTAGGATCTAGTTGTCTGAGGCTTTTTGCCTCTGGTAGGGTCACCCATGGCAAACAGGTCCTAGGTGAGGGATCAGGCAAAGTGCAGCCCAAAGACCTCTTATGATGAATAGTACAAATGGGAACTGTTCCCTCGCCTGGATGGGGGTCACCGAGGCCCCCTCTGGAGCTAGGCCTGGAGTTGGGGCACTTTGGCGAGCGCTTGGTGGCCGGGCTTTTACCCATGAAGCCTGGCCGGGTCCATAGATCCCCCGTCCCATGGGCCTACCACCTTTTACATGCTTGTGCCAACCATATGGTGGACCCACGTGATTAAGTGACGTAGGTGCAATGGGGCAAATGAGCTATGCGCCTCATCAAAACAGTACATGCAAATCTACACCGTCTAAGGATTTGTTATGAGGACCAGAAGACTACTGACCCTTTCCATGTGACATAATCAAGATATGCAGAAGTACTTCCTGTTTAAGACAACAAAAATACGTTTGTTTCATTGTTTTTGAGCAATTACATTTTCATTATTTAAAACACAAACATGCAAATCCACAAAAGTATGAGTAGTTTAAATTTTGTTACACCTATTTTGTTATCATAGAATTTAAACAATACCTTATAGCTTTTAATCATTAATCAAAAGTTTGAAATGTCCATATATATACAGTACATACACACACACACACACACACACATATATATATATATATATATATATATATATATATATATATAGTTTTTAGAGTTATCAGTCTGGAAAGAGTTTTCTTGACATTATAACACATTTGATTAAAGTGTTTAATTTTCTACAGTGCTGGTAGAACATGAAGATGCTTAAATCTCTTGACAGAACGGCATGGGGCACACTCCTTTCAAAAAAATCATAATCAGAAATATGAGTATGACTTGTTTGGTATCAGATTAAATTAAATTAAAATACATTTAAATTTAAAATTAGATCATAATTCATCAACGTTTATTGTTAAATATCTCAGTTTATAAATAAATTTTATTTATGACAAACTTTTGGCAGATTCATCAGAAATCAATGGTGCGACTGTTTAACAGCCGTAAAAAAAATCTCTTCTTCTCACAGATGGATGTTAAATTTAGACACCTGCTGCCACTGAAGCCAAACGGTCTTTGATTTGACAAACCGAAGCCATGGGGTAGAATATGTGAGTTCTTCACATAACAGCAAACCTTGAGGCTGTACAGCTGCAGATGTCCATCTAACATGACCGTTTGAAATTCGGCAGGCAAACCCAAACGCCTGAACGACATTTGTCTCATTCCTCCATCAACTCGCCACTGTTTTACTGCAGCTCAGAGCAACAATCTTGCTAACAACACATAAATACACATGATGTGTGAAAGGTTGATTTCTTCCTGTCATTTCTGTTCAGTTCAACTTCATTAGGAAGATTTACAGGAGATTTTTAAGGCATTTTAACCCAAATCTAGCAGGAATCATCTTGATCTTTAGTTGAATTAAATGAAGTGAACGGAAGTTGCTGCACAGGATCAACAATAAGTGCAAATGCTTGAAATGTTGAATTTCTTTTTGTTTTCTGATGTTTAATTTCAAATTTAAAAAAACAAATTACTAATTTGTGTCTTAATATTGTGGGTTTGTCTTCATAACTTCATGTTCAGTAGACACATGGAGTCTGTCCTTTTGGGCTGTAATTCAGCTCATGAATCATAACTCTGAGGGTTTCACTCCCTCGATAACCAACCACAGACACAGAACAACATGGAGCAAACACGTTTCACCCACACGCTACATCTATTCAGCTGGAAGGCTTCCACAGCTGTGACTGAGCAGGACAACAGTCAGTTATCATCTATAAAATAACCTTATTTTTTTCTTAATTTTCTCTCTTTTTGACATCATTTTAAAGACAAAAACAGAACTCTGGATGCACCGATGCTAAAATTCTCTAAGAGTTTATACAAGATCAGATTGCACATTTGGAATCTTTTTCTGTCCCCAAAAGTATAGAAATGTTTTCTAAGTAGAATTTGTTTGGTGTTTTCATAGGAATACCAAGTAGGTGGATGAAGGGATAAACGAGGCTATGTTTAAGAGGACAAAATTAACTCTTATTCTGAATCATCATGAAGTGAAATTTCTTGTTTGCATCCAAATAATTCTGGTTCTGTTCATAACAATTTATTCATAGAAACCAATTTTTGACAAGTTCAGTCACCAAACTTCTATTGTAGAAGCTGAATATAATAAAAAGGAAAATATCTTAAAATTACTTTGAAGTACAAGGAAAACCTGAAAAGGATGAAAGCTTCATTAAAAACATCTAATATCAACAGTATACTGCAGTGTCGTCCAACCCAGGTCCTCCAGGGATACTGCCCAGCATAGAGGTTTCTCTGTCCAACACACCTTAATGTGACTTTTCTGTTACTAAAATACCCCCATACACTGTAATACTTTCATTAAAACCTGTTGCTGACTCTGGCATTTGTTATTCGTGGTCTTACTTGAAAAGTGTGAAAAACATTCAAATGTATCTCTAAGTCTCTTCTCTGCATCAAAACATTTCACAGGAGTGGTCAAATTATTTGTTTACAGAAACATCCCATAAAAAATATATAAATGTAATAACAAACGATGACCTGAGCATTTCAGACACTCACCCCATGTGTGTGCTGCTTGCACAAAGCAAAGCATCATCATGCTCTGGAAGACGAGTCGTCCCATCATGGATAACCTGAAGGACAAACAGCTTCAGAGACTGCACAAAGAGAATGAGGAGGCTGAAGGGAGCGTTCTGGAGTGGACCGCTCAGCCTGATCAAGGAGTCTAATATACACTCTTATGGGAGAAGACCCTCCTCTCACTTACTTCTAAACATCCGGATCCTCCTCATGTTTTCTGGAAGATGCATCTGAGGATGTGCGTGCTGCACACACACACACGCACGCACACACACACACACACACACACACACACACACACACACACACACACACACACACACACACACACACACACACACACACACACACACACACACACACACACACACACACACACACACACACACACACACACACACACACACTTTTGCATGCACACACCATATATACCAAGTAGTGTTTCTATGGCCTCATTGTCAGTTCTTAGTAGATACCCTTTTTATTAAGACATAAACTTTATTGTCTTTATCTGAATGAATCTATAATTAATTAAACATGTAAACTAGTAGTAGCACATTCAATGTTAAGGAAAGTAAAATATTATTATCAAGAGGGAGAATGTTAAGTGGTTAGCAGCAGTGTGCCAGCCAATGACCCCCACCATGTGGCCACCACAGCTCAGCAAACACCATTGTAGCTTCTAAAAAATAAAAAATAAATAAAGTTAACTGCATAAATAGCAGAAAATAATGCAATTAGAGAAGTGGTAGAAGAAAGTAAGAATGTAGAAAGTGGTCAGAATGTCCTCCAGCAGTCTAAGCCTAAAGCAACATAACTACAGAGATAACTCAGGATAACCTAGCCTTTTAGATGGAGCCATATGGAGGGCAGGGCCAGGGAGAACCGTCTTTACTGACTGTATTCCCTGCTATACATTCTACCTCTCTCTACTTGCCCTAGCTTAGGCTAACATTACTCAGAATTTAACCTTTCAAATAAAATAAGTTTTAAGCCCAGTATTAAATGTAGGCAAGGTGTCTGCCTCACGGACTAAAACTGGGAGCTGGTTCAACAAGAGAGGAGCCTGGTAGCTAAAAGATCTGCCTCCCATCCTATTTTTAGATATTCTAGGAATCACCAGTAAGCCTTAAATAGAGTGAAGTTCTCTGTTAGAAACATATGGAACAATCAGATCACTGATGTATGATGGAGCTTGATCAAGAGCTTTATACAGTGCTCAGCATAAATGAGTACACCCTACTACATTTTTCAGAAAACTTTTAATTTCCTTTCAGATTCAACATTTTCCATGAGATGCCATACTACAAAATACTCCCACAAATGTGGGATCACTGTAGCAAAAGTGATCCAAAAATTTAAGAAAGTGCTACCAGTGTTGTGCCCGAATGTGCTCATGAATTTGTTCGTTTTTTTCGTGAAAGTGAACTGAACGCGTTCGTATTTTGGCTGACGAATGTAAAAGTGAGTCTGTTCGTCCTGGCGTGTGTGAACGGGTTTATGAACGCGTTATTTCGCCATTCTAGCTCCAGATCTCCACGGAGCTTTTCCGGAGCTAAAGCCTAGCTAAAACAACACGCAAATGCGGCCAAACATAGGCAGTAGCGGTTGGTGCGGGGTCTACTCTTCTATGTCTATGCTGTGTGCAGGAGTCAAAGCTTATTCAGAAAAATAGAAAAGGGACATAACTGAAAGATTATAAATTTTTTGATGTTTTGCACTTTTAATATTGCACTTAGAGTTTGCTACCTCAGCCTGCTTCCTAAGATTGTTTAATAATTTCCCATTAAAAAACTGTTCAAATAATGTTTTCCTCATGTTATTGAGAATTTACTGTAGGGTAAAAACTGCTAATGGGTATGAGTGTGGACTGAACAAGTGCCAATAGTGGGGCAAAAAAGTATTTAGTCAGCCACCGATTGTGCAAGTTCTCCCACTTAAAATGATGACAGAGGTCAGTAATTTTCATCATAGGTACACTTCAACTGTGAGAGACAGAATGTGAAAAAAAAAATCCATGCATTCACATGGCAGGATTTTTAAAGAATTTATTTGTAAATCAGGGTGGAAAATAAGTATTTGGTCAATAACAAAAATTCAACTCAGTGCTTTGTAACATAACCTTTGTTGGCAATAACAGAGGTCAAACGATTACTATAGGTCTTTACCAGGTTTGCACACACAGTAGCTGGTATTTTAGCCCATTCCTCCATGCAGATCTTCTCTAGAGCAGTGATGTTTTGGGGCTGTCGCCGAGCAACACGGACTTTCAACTCCCTCCACAGATTTTCTATGGGGTTGAGGTCTGGAGACTGGCTAGGCCACTCCACTCCAGAATTTATTTGTAAATCAGGGTGGAAAATAAGTATTTGGTCACTTCAAACAAGGAAAATCTCTGGCTCTCACAGACCTGTAACGTCTTCTTTAAGAAGCTTTTCTGTCCTCCACTCGTTACCTGTATTAATGGCACCTGTTTTGAACTCATCATCTGTATAAAAGACACCTGTCCACAGCCTCAAAAAGTCAGACTCCAAACTCCACTATGGCCAAGACCAAAGAGCTTTCGAAGGACACCAGGAAAAGAATTGTAGACCTGCACCAGACTGGGAAGAGTGAATCAATAGGCAAGCAGCTTGGTGTGAAAAAAATCAACTGTGGGAGCAATTATCAGAAAATGGAAGATATACAAGACCACTGATAATCTCCCTCGATCTGGGGCTCCACGCAAGATCTCATCCCACGGGGTCAAAATGATCATAAGAACGGTGAGCAAGAATCCCAGAACCACACGGGGGGACCTGGTGAATGACCTGCAGAGAGCTGGGACCACAGTAACAAAGGTCACCATCAGTAACACACTACAACGCAGGGACTCAAATCCTGCAGTGCCAGACGTGTTCCGCTGCTGAAGCCAGTGCATGTCCAGGCCCGTATGAAATTTGCCAGAGAGCACATGGATGATATAGCAGAGGATTGGGAGAATGTCATGTGGTCAGATGAAACCAAAGTTGAACTTTTTGGTATAAACTCAACTCGTCGTGTTTGGAGGAAGAAGAATACTGAGTTGCATCCCAAGAACACCATACCTACTGTGAAGCATGGGGTTGGGAACATTATGCTTTGGGGCTGTTTTTCTGCTAAGGGGACAGGACGACTGATCCGTGTTAAGGACAGAATGAATGGGGCCATGTATCGTGAGATTCTGAGCCAAAACCTCCTTCCATCAGTGAGAGCTTTGAAGATGAAACGTGGCTGGGTCTTCCAACACGACAATGATCCCAAACACACCGCCCGGGCAACAAAGGAGTGGCTCCGTAAGAAGCATTTGAAAGTCCTGGAGTGGCCTAGCCAGTCTCCAGACCTCAACCCCATAGAAAATCTATGGAGGGAGTTGAAAGTCCGTGTTGCTCGGCGACAGCCCCAAAACATCACTGCTCTCGAGAAGATCTGCATGGAGGAATGGGCCAAAATACCAGCTACTGTGTGTGCAAACCTGGTAAAGACCTATAGTAATCGTTTGACATCTGTTATTGCCAACAAAGGTTATGTTACAAAGTATTGAGTTGAATTTTTGTTATTGACCAAATACTTATTTTCCACCCTGATTTACAAATAAATTCTTTAAAAATCCTGCCATGTGAATTTATGGATTTTTTTTTCCCACATTCTGTTTCTCACAGTTGAAGTGTACCTATGATGAAAATTCTGACCTCTGTCATCATTTTAAGTGGGAGAACTTGCACAATCGGTGGCTGACTAAATACTTTTTTGCCCCACTGTGTATGTATATATATATATATGTGTGAGAGAGAGAGAGAGAGAGAGAGAGAGAGAGAGAGAGAGAGAGAGAGAGAGAGAGAGAGAGAGAGAGAGAGAGAGAGAGAGAGAGAGAGAGAGAGAGAGAGAGAGAGAGAGAGAGAGAGAGAGAGAGAGAGAGAGAGAGAGAGAGAGAGAGAGAGAACTATGAACTAGTTCATTTTTGGAACAGTGAACTTAGCTCAAATTTTTTTAAATTATGAACTAAGAAACAAACTAGTTTGTTTTAAAATGTATGAACTAAACTTTGAACTAGTTTGTTTTTTAAACAAACTTTCCCAACACTGAGTGCTACCATCTTACGGACATCTCCAAGCCGTCAAAGGAAGTTAACATCTCGACAGGAGCGTCTTCTGATGAGAAGGGTTGATTAAAATCGCCATGCAAGGTCACTGCAGTTAGCTAAAGCAGTAGAAAGCCTAACTGGAGTGACCGTTTCCTGTGACACCATACGGCGCGCACTGCAGAGAAATGGCACGCATGGGCATCATCCACGAAGGAAGCCTCTCCGAAAGCCCATGTTCAAAAAAGCACAGTAGAGTCAGTAGAGAGATCTGTCACCCTTCACACAGATTCCTCACTGAAAGTCTAAATCCTGTTCTGATGAGGTCAAGGAGAGGTTAACGCTCCACTTCCCAGCCCAGCAAGGACCTCTCACATACTTGGCTCCTAAATAAACTCACAAGCCGTCTGTCTGGCTTCTTCCCACCTGGTGACTGGTATGTGTTTCAGTTCACTGCCGCTTAGTGGGTTTTTGATCTCTTCTCAGACTCTTTAATGAGTCCTGTTCATGTACTGTCAATGTTGCATGAATGCATACACAGGTGAGAGCACTGAGGACCCGACTAAAATCTTACCAGAGGAACAAAAAACACAGCTCAACACTAAAACAGGAGTTTTAAATATGTCTAATAAACACAGAAGTACTTTCTAAATATTAATTTTAAGCTTTTATAAAACTCATCCTTTAGAGGTTTGGTGTCGGACCTTAAAGGAGACATATTACAGGGCTAACGTATTAATTCTAATAGCACTGGTGTAAGAAAGGTTGTAGCACCAGCGCTATGAGTTAATTATGTTAACATACAGCCCTGTAATATGTCTCCTTTAAAGTCTGATGCTACAAAGGTTGTAGCACCAGCATAAAATTTCTGTTACAATCTCTGAAAACCAAAAGTAGTTCTCATTACTCAAACACACTGAAACACTGGTAGTGCATATAAAGAAAACACAACAAGCAACCATCCATCCATTTTCTGAACCCGCTTTGTCCACGCGGGGGTGGGTGGGTGGGTGGGGGGGGGTGGGGGGGGTGCCTATCTCCA